GTACAGTTGTTAGTTTTCTTTTGGTTACCTTAATATGTACCCCTATTTTTCTAAGTTTATACCAGTCTTATATTTCTATGTATCGCCTTGATTTCCTCTCCAAATGAAAAATCTACGTCTACATTTGTTAAGTCCCTTTTTTTTGTTGTTTTAATGTTGTCATCTGTTACATATTGACATCTTGTCTTAGGCTGGGTTCTCTAGAGAAGCAAAACCAGTAAAATATATAAGTATATACATAGAGAGAGATTATATCAAGGAAACAGCTCACGTGATTGTAGAGGCTAGAACATCCCAAGTCCATGGATCAGGGTAGAGGCCTCTCCCAAGTCACATCACTGCAGAAGCTGGCAAGCCCAAGATCAGCAGGTCGGAGAGCAGGGCTCCTGCTCACAGGCTGTGCAGATCAGTGAATCCCAGGTTCGGCAGATAAGCTGACAGCTCGAGTCCCAAGAACAGGAGATGAGACGACAGGAAGCAGCCGCAGGATCCAGAGAGAGCAAAAAGCCAGAACGTCTGCTTATATACAGATGCGGGCTACACCCCCGAGGAGACTCCCTTTTATCTGATTGGCTATTCACAGTATATTCAATCATGGGAGTGATTACATTAAAACACTGAGAATCATGGCTCAGACAAGTTGACACACAATCTTAACCATCATACATCTGTTTTCCCATTTTCAGTGTTTTAGCTTTGATTTACTTTTGTGACTTCCCTATCTGGGTTGATATCTGGTTGCTCTGTTGTGTGTTCTAGTCTTGGGTTGTTTTCTGTTGATACTGATTTTCTAACTGGTGGACTCCCTTTAGTGTTTCTGGTAATTTTGGTTTGGTTTTTGCACATTCCCTAAACTTCTATTTATCTTGAAATGCTCTAATTTTGCCATCATATTTGAGAATTTTACTGGATATGTAATTATTGGCTGGCAGGTTTTTTCCTTCAAGGCTTTATATATGTCATCCCATTGCCTTCTTGCCTGCATGGTTTCTACTGAGTAGTCTGAGCTTATTCTTATTGACTCTCCTTTGTAGATGACTTTTTGTTTCTCCCTAGCCACTCTTAAAATTCTCTCTTTATCTTAGATTTTGGCAAGTTTGATTGTAATATGTCTTGCTGACTTTGTTTTGGGATCAACCTTATGTGGGGTTCGATGAGCATCTTGGATAGATATCTTGTCATCTTTCACGACATCAGGGAAGTTTTCTGCCAACAAGTCTTCAACAATTCTCTCTGTATTTTCTGTTATCCCCCCTGTTCTGGTACTCCAGTCACTCGTAGGTTATTCCTCTTGATAGAGTCCCACATAATTCTTAGGGCTTCTTCATTTTTTTTAATCCTTTTATCTGATTTTTCTTCAAATAAGTTGGTGTCAAGTGCTTTATCTTCAGTCTCACTAATTCTGACTTCCATTGCCTCAGTTCTGGTCCTGTGACTTTCTAATGAGTTGTCTCATTCTGAAATTTTATTGTTAATATTCTGGATTTCTGATTGCTGTCTCTCTGTGGATTCTTACAGCCTGTTAAATTTGTCATTATGCTCTTCTCTAATCTTTTTAATTTCCTCTATTGCGTGTTCTGCGTTTTGCTTTATTTCCTTTCTAATTTCTTGAAGAGTTCTGTATATTAATCTTTTGTATTCTGCCTCTGGTAATTCCAAGAAATTTTCCTCCTCTGGAAAATTTCTAGATTCTCTATTTTGGGAGCTTGCTGAAGCCATCATGGATTGCCTCTTTATGTGATTTCATATTGACTGTTGTCTCTGAGCCATCAATAGTTATTATATTGATTTATTTTATGTTTGCTTACTGTGTCCTAGCTTCTTGTTTTGTTTTGATATGCCCAAATAGGCTGCTCATATGAGCTAGTTTTATTATTGGCACCTTTGAAGCTCTAATGTCCTGTCACCAGGTGGTTAGATCTGTTACTAGGTATGTGAGCTCAGAAGTCTGCCCACTCCTCCTGTATGGATTCAGTTCAGGTGCCCAGGTAGATAGCCACCAAGTGTGTTGTGTAGGCTCTCACAGTCTAGACAGGCATGGGTGATTGTTGTAGGCATAGGCATCTGGCTGCAGCAGGGGGACACACTCTGAGCAAGGCAGGGTGTGACAGCCGCTCCCAAGCGTCCAGGTGTAAGGTGTGTCCCTGTTCCCTAGAGCGCATACGTGGGTGGGTGGGTTCTGCAGCTGGACTATGAGCACCTAATGCTGTTGGCTGTAAGGACTGACGAGCATCTCTTTTTCATGGGCCCCTATCGCAGGTGGTTAGGTGGTGTGGGTGGAGCCACCAGTCCTCAGGCACCTGACGTGGGTAGGTGAAGACCCTGCTTAATGGGCAGAGCAGTCAAATGTCAAGAACCTGCCACTTCACAGCTGAAACAGTTGAAGTTAGACTTCCGGTATATACCCTGTTGTACTGCAGTAATGAGGGCCTACACTGTTGAAATGGGCCCACACAAGTCTCTGCAGTTGGAAAGTCACTCAAAGTCTGTGGATCCCTTATGCCTGTGCCTAGGCAAAGGAGCTGTGCCTTCCCTGGGTTCCTCGCTTAGGGGAGCCAGCAGTTTACTTTTTCCCTGTTTGTTAATTTGTTCACTCTCCAAGGCAGGGAGAATGTCTCCGGGCATGTGATGGATCCTGTTTCCAGCCCAGAGGACTCAGCAATTGCTGAAGCCAGTCCAGGCCCCAGTGCAGAGCAGGGAGAGGGGAGGTAAATGGGAGAGTGATTTTTCCCTAAGGCAGGTGTTTTTGATATGTGCGGTAAGCTGTACGCAAGTACTTATCTTTTGCCAATGAGGGCTGCTTCTCACTACTTCTGGGTGGCTGTGTAGGCTCTCTGGCGGTGGGTCTCTCCCGGTGCAGAAAATGCACCTCCCGAGCACCACTGCTTGCCTGCCTCACCACTCACCCCCAAGCTGATCAGGCCTGAAGGGCTCAGGCTCTTGCTGGGTCAGGTCTGGCAACTCCTTGCTGCTTCCAAACTGTCTCTCCCTCCCCCACCACTCAGTCCGGTTCCTCAACTTTGCCTTTGATGTTCAGGGCTCCCAGATTGCCATATATAATCAAATCACTTGTTTTTTCGGGTCTTTGTTGTAAGAGGGTCCACCGGAAACATCTGACTACTCCACCATCTTGGCCCCGCCTCCCTGCCACCATAAGTTTTAAAAAAAGGAAAAGGAGTTTATATTAAATTTCTTTTCGGCGTACTAATAACTTCTTACAGTCATTCAATTTTTTTAGGATTAATTAGATTAACATTTTCAAGGCAGTAGTTATACCTACGTGTAAAAAATAAAATTCCCAATTCAAATAAAAAAACAAAAAACAGCTACCCTACTCTGCCCTGGCCACTACCTGTGCAGGGACATCTCTGATGGTCACGTGTTAGGAAGTGTCAGACACAGGTTATACGGAGAAGGTGCTGGCCTCCTTTCTGTTGCTTGCTCATTTTAAATGACAGCATCTTGAGTAGCTGGAGGGATAGGGAGACTTGGAAAGAGCTCCTTGCTGGCACACATATGTTTGGACACTCCATTCGCATCCCCACTCCCTGTGTACACACCTCTCAGAACTCTTTCTGCAGTTCCTGGTAGCTGTTTACTCTTGTCCTCTGTGAATTCCTGTCCCTCCACCTCACCCTTCTTGACTGGAGCAGATATCTAAATGGAAGGCATTATAGCTTATTGCATTGTCTCTGGGTATGCAGCAGGTGAGTGTCTTCACATGCAGCTACCTCTGGAGCAGAGCCAGTCCCTGGACAGGGTGCAAGTGGAGGGCAAACCAGGAAGTTTAATAAAGGTCAGAGGAAGTTCTGATGGTAAAATCATTGCAAGTCTACTGCCACTTGTGTTCATAGAGCTGGAGGAAGACTCACTTCTTTTGTAACACAGCCTATCAATTTAAAAAGGAGAACCATAATGGACCACAAACTACCATGACCTCCATCAGACTGAGCCCACAACAGCTAGATGATTCCCAGTTACCACCACTGACTGCTCTGGCAGGGATCACAATAGAGGGTCCCAGACAGAGTGGGAGAAAAATGTAGAACAAAATTCAAATACGTTTAAAAAAAAAAAAATAATAAGACCAGGCTTGCTGGCCTGACAGACTGGAGAAACTCTGAGAGTATGGCGCCCGGATACCCTTTTAACTCAGTACTGAAGTCACTCCTGAGGTTCACCATTCAGCCAAAGATTAGCCAGGTCGATAGGGCCAACAGTAACACACTGAGGGACATACTTCATAGTTTAGTCATGTAGACGAGACCAATGGGCACACCAGCACAAAAACAAAGATGAGAAGGCAGGAAGGGACAGGAAAACTGGACGAATGGAAACGGAACCCGGAGTGGAGAAGGGGAGAGTGTTGACACATCGCGAGATGGGCAACCAGTGTCACATGACAATTTGTGTATTAACTGTTTAATGAGAAATTAATTTGTAACCTTTCACCTAAATCACAATAAAAATAAAAAGGAGAACCATTGGTCTAAATAAGCCACCAGCCTGTCCCCTCTACCAGCCAAATCGGATTACAGAATAGTCGTGTGTTTTCTGTCCAGCCAGCCCTGCTGAGAACTTGGTGCACACCTGCCGAAACGGGCAGGTAAGGGATGAGGAAGGGGCAGTGCTACACCATGTCTGTCACACCAAAGGATGTCAGTCTGGATGTGCTGGGCCCCTGTTGTGACGGACAGGCTGTGTTGCTGCACAGTGTCAGTTGCTCCAGATGGCCCACCCTGGCCCTTCTCCAGCAACGAGAGGTGTTTCTCTGCTCTGGTGGGTTTGAAGTCTTTGTTGTACAGTTCTCATGCACTCAGCTTTTCAGATGGCACTTGGGCACCTCATTGAATTTAAAGTCTGCAACTGTTTGGCATATTTTTATTGAATATATGTAATCTGATGAAGCTCTGAGGATTGCCCTTCAGTGCTCTCTTTTGGGTAGTGTGAAAATAGCCATGTGAACATTTTTGTGCTTTTTTTTCTTTTTTTAAAAACAGGGTTGAAAAGTATAGACCAGTAAAGCTGAATGAAATTGTTGGGAATGAAGACACTGTGAGCAGGCTGGAGGTGGGTGACTTTTCACAGGATGATCTTGTGTCGTTACTGGGGCTTTTACAAGCTGGAGTACATTTGGAGGGAGACAGCAAAGATAGTGAGGGGAAGGCAAACCACGAATCAGAAGAATTGAAGGGTTGGGAGACAATGAGTTTGGAGAACCCTGGAAGCCGTGGTGGATGACTTCAAAGTTTGAAGGGCTGGTGTTTTGGAGAGGGGTTATCAGACTTGTTCTGTATTCCTCTAGAGCAGGGGTGGCAAACTTTTTCTGTAAAGGGCCAGATAATAAATATCTCAGGCTTTATGAGCCACTTAATGGCTCCGTGGAATATATATATATATATATAAACCTTTAAAGATGTAAAAACCATTCTTAACTTGGGGGATTATAAAAACGGGCCCCCACCCCCACCCTACCATAGTTTGCTGATCTCTGGCCAGAAGACAAAACAGTGCTCTAATAGGTCAGCAGAATTCAGGTTGATGTGAGGACGGATTTTGTAGCAAGCAGAAATGTCTAGCAGTGGAGCAAGCAAGTGGGGTTGCACCAGAAGGCTTTGAATTTCCAGCCCTAGAGGTCTTCAGGAATAATCTAGAAGCCCAGCTATTTGACACACAACAGAGGAGGTCTCTGTAGTCAGCGGGGTTTGGACTTTACTTTTTATTTTTATTTTATTGTACTTTAGGTGAACGTTTACAGAACAAATAGTTTCTCATTAAACAGTCAGTACACATATTGTTCCACGACATTGGTTAACAGCCCCACGACATGTCAACATTCTCCCTTCTCTACCTTGGAGGACCTTTTTTTTTTTAAAAAAAAATTGTACTTTAGGTGAAGGTTTACAGAACAAATAGTTTCTCATTAAACAGTCAGTACACATATTGCTTTATGACATTGGTTAACAACCCCATGACATGTCAACACTCTGCTTTCTTGACCTTTTTTTTTTTTGGTGAAAATATACATAGCCAAAGATACACCATTTCAGAAATTTCTACATGCACAATTCAGTGACATCGATTACGGTCTTCCAGTTGTGCTGCTGGCGGTTTAGACTTTAATAGCTACCAAGTCCCTTTTGCTGTATCATTTAACATAGATTTGATTATCTTCTCTGGGCCAGACACAGTGTTAGGAACTGTTGATATCTGATGGACAAAATGTACATGATCCCTGCCCATGTGGGATTTACAGTCTAATGGGGGCTACACTAAAGTCAGCAGGTAATGTGGTCAGTACTCTGCGAGGGGAAGTTCAGGTGCTGTGGGACATATGGGTGGAGGAGGAGTAACCCGCTCACAGGTCAGCAACCTCTGAGTAACCTGCTCAAAGTATTCCCCAGTGGAAGAAGTGACTCCAAAGCTAAAAGATGAGCAGGAGTTAGCTAGACTGGAGGGGGCCGGCAGGGAGGGGAGGCAGAAGGAATGGCATGTGCAAAGGCCAGGAGGTGAGAGGGAGCTTAGCTTGTTCTGGGGAACAAATGCTATCTGATTGGGATACACATCAGTGCTTTTCAAACATTTGTGGGCATATGAATCACCTGGGGATCTTGTTAAAATGTAGATTCTGACCCAGTAGTTCTGGAGTGGGGGTGGAGTTTCTGCTCATCTAACAAGCTCCCAGGTGATGCTGACTCTGCTGGTCCATGGACGCCCACTTTGAGTAACAAGGCTATCCAAAAAACCAGTTGCTATCAAGTCAACCCCAATTCATGGCGACCTGTTTGTTGCAGTAGAACTGTACTCCACAGGTTTTCAATGGCTGATTTTTTTGGAAGTAGATCACCAAGGCTTTCTTCTGAGGTACCTCTGGAGGGACTTGAATCTCCAGCCTTTCAGCTAGCAGCCAAGCACGTTAACCGTTTGCACACCCAGGGATGTGTTCTGGGGTGTAGTGAGAAGTGAGCCTGGTGTAGTAGGCAGGACCCAAACTGTAGGGCCTGTGAGCTCTGTTTAAAAGTTTGGGCTTCATGTTGAGGGCAGTAAGGGCTCATCCAAGGGTTTCAGTTAGGTAAATTCTTAAAAACATTTGCATTTTAGAAAAATGGTTGTGGTTACACCGTGGGAAATGGATTAGAGTGGGGCAGGTTTAGAGGCAAGGAGACCAGTTAATGGCCTGTTGAAAGCAACCCAGGCAAGAGATAATGGACTAAGAAAGTGGCAATGGGACTAGGAAAGAAGTCAGTGGCCCCTGGAGAGGAAGGAACAGAAAGCACAGCCTTTGCCACTGAGCTGCTGGTAGGCTAAGGGAGGAGGCCAGACAAGGACGGTGCTGACCTCCAGGTTCTGGATCGAGCACTTGGGTTGATGCACTGACAGTCCACCGAAGAGGGAACATCGGTGGGGCCCCAGCTTTGTAGGGAACGATGATGAGTTCAGTTTGGAATATGCTGAGGTGAGAGTTCTACGGGGCATCTTTTTGGAGAAATTTGTAGCTATGCTTCCTACGTGGGTCATTGTGGCTGGGGGGACCCGCTCCTAAGGCTTACAGATTAACCAATTTTAATTAACATTTTTTTCCTCAGGTGTTTGCCAGAGAAGGGAACGTGCCCAACATTATCATTGCTGTAAGTACTCCGTCCTGGTCCTGGTGGTTTTGTCTGTCTCCAAGTCTCGTTTTTACTGACTGCTTAAATGCTTCAGTGGCACGATGCTTCCTTCTCAGAGGGGTTCTTCTCACTCCCCTCAGCAAGTTAGTCAGAGGGCCTGTGGGGTGGCTGCTCTAGGGATTTGGCGTCTGCTGTGGAATAGGGTGGGATGGGTTCAGGGGAGGTGAGTGGAAACAGCGGTGAACAGCAAAGCAAGGGATACACTGAATTCATTCTGGTGGCCTGGAGTACTTACTGGGGATTTCACTCCTAGGGCCCCCCAGGAACTGGGAAAACTACAAGCATCCTGTGTTTGGCACGAGCCTTGCTGGGCCCGGCACTTAAGGATGCCGTCCTGGAACTCAATGCTTCCAATGACAGGTACATCTGGGAGTCAAGACTGAAGGGTGGCGTGTGCTTGGCATTTTGAATTGTTGTAGACATGGCTTTTTTCAGTTGATGTTATACGTGGAGCTTGCCTTGCCAATGATGTGTTTTCTGTTAATCCTTTCCAGTAAAAGAGGTTGAAAATTGCTTGCTTGTCAATGTGGTATCATAAGCCTTTGACTTGCTGGTTTACTTTTCATCTGAATAGTAGATGAATTATGAAATAAGGATCTGTTGAATATAATGTCTGCAAAGTCTACTTTTGATTATTCCTTGAGGACATTGTTCTCAGCTCTTTCATATTTTCTGGGTTATGGAGCTCTTTACCTGAAATGACCAATGTCCTTTGAATGCAGCTAACTGCTCATCAGCTACCACGCGTGAGCCTGTGATATATCTACTTGTGAATACTGATTCCAGAAGTCAAATACGAACGGGTTCTAGTTAATCATTACTTCTTGTTCTTCTCACACTTGCATCAAAACTCACTACTTTTGAAAACTTTGATGGCTTATAATTTTGTCGAAGAGAAGGTGGTCCATAATTGCAAAATAATTTCAATTTTAGAATTATCAATACGGTGATTTTTCTTTTCCCATTTCTATGTCATTTATTTCTTTCTAATCACCTTGTGTACACAAAAGCCTTCCGTTTTCAGTCACTTACAAATTATACTGTTTAAATTTTGGTGTACAAAGATCATAAAAGATGAAAGAATACTGTCACGTCTCTTTAGCAAAGCAGGATGGTCCAAATTCTTGTCACAAGATAAATTGTGGAATGACGTCCTTCCTATTGAGTGACTAACTGGATGAAAATATATTTACTTTTTGTCCTTAGAAATGTTCTGTTCACTCCTCAATTCTTGAGTTTGAGAAACTTTATCTAGGATGTTGGCAGCCGAAGGCTCATAGTCTGAGATTTTGCTTCTATAATCAATTTCACCATCGTCATTAGAGTCTAGTCTAGATTCTAATGTGGCACAAAGGGTTTGCACTTGGCTGGTAACCAAAAGGTTGGCTGTTTAAACCCATCCAGTGACACTGTGGAAGAAAGGCCTGGCAGTATGCTTCTGTAAAGATTACAGCCAAGAAAACCTTATGGAGCACTTCTGCTCTGTAACACATGAGGTTGCCATGAGTTGGAGTCAGCTTGACAGCAGAGGGTGTTTTGGGTTTGATTAGAGTCTAGAGTGCTGCTGTTTATCTCTCTGTAGTCATTTTGTGATTTGTCTAATAATTATGAGTCTTCTGTCAGTTTTCTTGTCTTTGCCATTTGGGAAGAAATACGAAAAATTCTGAATTCTCAGCCATATTCAACAATTCTAAGTTCTTATCTATGTTCAATGAAAGCTTAAAAACGACAACAAAGATGGTAGATCTAGACTGTTTTATATTTTTTTGAAAATAATGCAGGACCTCAAGCAACACAATACAAAACTGAAGGATGATGTAGTAGTGACCATTTCCCCCACTACTGTCGTATTCTTCTAGGCAATTCCATCATTCTTTTTTAGCATAGCTGAGGGTAATCAATGAGTAATGATGAAATAAGTACTAGCATGTTTCAAGTATAGGAAGAATAAGATCACTAAGACACCAAAATGTATCTTAGACTATGAAGGGGTCCAGTGGATCCACGTGGTAATTGCAAGATAAAATGGGTTTTACTCTAATAAAAAAAAAGTCGATTTTTTTTTGTTCTTTGGAAGACCTGTAAGAAGGAATACAAGTCATTAAATATCAGTCTTTACAAATAATTAGAATTGCCCAAAAGAAACTGAGAGGAAACTGAAGGAAGCTGAATTTGTCTTGGAAGGTAACAGGAAAATTCTGCCTTCTTGTTTCAGGGGCATTGATGTTGTGAGGAATAAAATCAAAATGTTTGCCCAGCAGAAAGTCACCCTTCCCAAAGGTCGGCATAAGATCATCATCCTGGATGAAGCAGACAGGTAGAGTGCTTTGCCAAATAAATTTTGACCTTGATCTGTAAATCTCTTATAGAGCTTTGTTGAATTGGGAGGAAAAGCTGTCACCTTTGCACTTCTGTGGTGGGTGGGGCCTGTGCCTCAGGCCTTATCTGCATCAGGTCACTCAGAGATGTCTGTCTAAGAGAGGAGGTTACTGTGGTCTGTCCCAGCGTCCCTTCCATGAACAATTTAGATGAAAAAATTTAATGACATTTTAAAACTATAAAGGTAATTCATGTTCTGAAGAAAATTTGGAAAATACTGGTAACACCTTGCTTCATTTCTTCTCTTACCGATAGAAATTTTTTACATAGTTGAGACTGTAATACATATACTTTTATGTTCTGGTTCTTCCTTTTAATGTTAAAAACAGCGTTCCATATCGTTGTAGTCTTGTGGACATAGTCTTTAATAGCTTTGTTATATCCCATAGTGTGGATGCACCTTAGCCTTCTTACTGTAATATTATTTATAGTAATAACAGCAGCTAACATTTATTGAATATTTACCGTGAACATTTATAGTATGCTGGGCACTCTAATAAACACTTTGCATGTGAAAACTTTTTTGTTCTTGTTATTTTGATCTTTTTTTTTTAATTGTGGTAAAATATATACAACGCAAACTTTGCCATTTTAACCATTTTTAAAGTGTACAACCCAGTGACATTCATCACACTATGCTGTGCGGCCATCACCACTTTGTTTCCAAAACTTTTTCATCACCCCAAATAGAAACTCTGTTCCCATCAAACAGTACTCCCCATTCTACCCTCCCCCCAGCACCTGGGAACCATAGTGAATTTTCTGTCTATGCATTTGTCTATTTTAGATATATCGTGGATGGGGTCTTACAATACTTGTCCTTTTATGAAGGGCTTATTTCGCTTAGCATAATGGTTTCCAGGTTCATTCATGTCATGGCATGTATCAGAACTTTATTTCTCTTTAAGGCTGAATAATATCCCATTGTATGGGTTTACCATTTTGTTTTTTCATTCACCTGTTGATGGACGCTGGGGTTGTTTCTGCCTTTTGGCTGTGGTGTGTTAGTGTCACGTGTAACTGTCACAACAACCCTCTGAGCTCAGTAGTAGCACTGTGTCCATCTTACAGGTGATGACACTGAGACCTAGGATCACACAGCTTAGCCAAGCGAAGGCAGTCGGACTGCGGGGCCTCTGCTCATGCCTGCAGAATGTGCCTGTGTAAGACCCTAACGGGGGCCCTGGAGAGAGCTGAGCATGCTCAGTGAGGGGTCAAGGCTCCCAGCATTTTATTAGAAAAGTTGGCAGCTGATGTCATAAGACAATTCTCTTGGATTTCCTATCATGGCGGAGCTGCAGGGAGGCCTGACTCCTGCACACGTGGATGCAGCCACTGCAGATGGTGATTTTGTGCGTCTGGGCAGTAAATCTGCTTGGGTAGTCTTGGAGGGTGCAGCCTGTGGGTTTTGGCATTTGTGGGATGATGTGATTACTTCTGAGACAACAGTCCAGGACTTTGGACATGTCCAGTGTCCTGGGTTCTTGTTCACAGGGAGGGATTTGTGCCCTGGGGGGCTTTGGGTCCCAGGTGCAAACTGTTCCCTTTGTTTTCTTCTCAGCATGACTGATGGTGCCCAGCAGGCCTTGCGGAGAACCATGGAAATCTACTCCAAAACGACGCGCTTTGCCCTTGCTTGTAATGCTTCAGATAAAATCATAGGTGTGGTGAGCTCTGGGTGACCTGGGGTTCACATGGTGTTCACGTTGGCCCTTTTGCAGTGGAAGAGTAGGGTCAAGCAGTATATAATCGTCTTTTTCGTTTAATCGTCATATAGTTCTATGAGGAGGTATTAGTAACTTCACTTCAGAGATGAGGAAACTGGAGCTCAGAGGGTTGCGTTGTTTGCTCAAAACCACAGAGCAAGTGGAAGCCCTCAGCCTGTCTGACTTGCGCTCTGTCAGGTACACATGATGTTTCTGATGTCCTGTACACAGTGTCTTACTTAGTCACTGCTCCTCCCTAGATATGCACTTGTACTTCTTGTTTGCTCCAAGCACTTGGCATATACTGTGTCTGCACACTGGGCTTCGTTGTTACCGGGAATTGCCTCCCCTTTGAAGGCTTAAATGTTGTCTTCTCTCTGACCTCAGGGTTCTGTCCTTCCATCTCCCACCCTCCCTCCCTTTTTGCCTCCCTCCCTCCCTCCCTGTTTGCCTCCCTCCCTCCCAGCAGCCTTTCCACTTCCTCACTGCTTTGAGTTTGTCAACTTCCTGTTGATTTCACATCCTTCCCTTTCTGATCTAGACTATGTACACTGTCTAGCTTCTCTCTCATCACTTCTCACGGCTCCCTTGTCCTGTTGTCCTTGCCTCACTTCTGTCCTGCTGAGCCCCAGCCCATGTGAGCTCAGCCACCCGACTTCCCCTTCTGCACCCAGGCTATTGTAGCTGCTGCAGACAAGTCCACTACAAACATGCTGTCCCCACAAAGTCGTGCCTTCCAGCCTCAGTATTGCCAGAAATCCTCAATGTCCTTTTACAGTCCCCACTGAGTCATTTATTTGTTCATTTATTCATTCAATAAACATGTACACTGTTCTCAGTAGGTGTCACATGCTAGTGCTGAGTATACAGAGTTAATGAGAAATATTCCCCTACTCTCCAGACACCAATGGTGTAGTGGAGAAAACTAGTAAAAGTTTTTGATTAACAGATGTGCATGTAGCTTGTCTCCTTGTAACCAGTCACAAGACAAGTCTTTGAGGGCAGGACACTGTTATAGACGTGTTCCCAGTGCAGCCACCATAGGGCTGAGTGTTAATGAATTTGTTCGGTGATTTGAAATTGCAGTTGTTGGCCAAGAAAGCTTTGATCTTGTCTTAGTCAGGGTTCTCTAAAGAAACAAAAGTAGTGAGATATGTGTGTGTGTGTGTATATATATGTATGTATACACATATATATACATGTATACATATATATATATACACACACACACACACACACACACACACCCCCCCACACACACACACACACACAGAGAAATTGATTTACTTCAAGGAATTGGCTCGTGCGATTGTAGGGGCTGAAAAGTCTTAAATTTGCAGGTCAGGCAGCAGGCTGGAGACTTCTGTAGGTTTGCGTCCCCAAATTCGTAGGTCAGGTAATGGAAGAGTGCAGAGTTGAGAGAGAGATATCTGCCAAAATATTTATAGTCTGAAGGCATACCACACCCTAAAGAATGCCCCTGTTAACTGATTGATTTATATTCCACTAGATTACATTTATGGAAACCCTGGTGGCATAGTGGTTAAGAGCTACGGTTGCTAACCAAAGGGTTAGCAGATTGAATCTACCAGGAGCTCCTTGCTCTGTCTTATAGGGTTGCTATGAGTCAGAATCGACTTGACGGCAATTGGTTTGGGTTTTTTTGTTTGTTTAGATTACATTATGGAAGGTGATTACATTATGTTGTATTGGATGATGTTATGGAACAGCAACTAGTCTAGTGTTTGGCAAAACCAGTGGGAACCATAGCCTAGCCAAGCTGACACATGAAATTAACCATCACACCTTCCTTTTTCATGAAATTAATTTTTCTGACACATAGAACATCCTGATGATTTTTTTAAAGGAATATACAAACGTGAATGAACTCCTTAAAGAAAGGGCTTATTTTTACACTTTACAGGAAATGGTTCATGGTCAGATGGCTGCAGATTTGATTTCTGAGCCCAAGTCACACCACTGGGCTCCTAGACTCACACCAGTTGAGAGTGTGAGGTGTATTTTCTTTGAGAAAGGCCATGGCTACCTTACTCTGAAATATATTTAAATCCTGCAAGTTAAGCTTTTGGTGCTTTTCAAAAGAGAAAAATCTAGTAAAGGAAACTTGTACTGTCGTTTGAATATCAGTTGCTTTTAGATAGGAACTCCAGTTTCTAAGAGATCTTTCTCATCTGATAATCCTAAATATGCAAGTAAGGTTCTGTTGTGAAGCTTCCTGATTTCAGATGAGTTGGAATGGACTAATTCTTGGGAAAGGGGCTCTTTTCATTCATTTGACAGACACTGGACCATTTTATGTGCAGAGCGTCTGCTAGCACAAGGCACAGTAGAGGATCAAGTTTCTAGGGGGCTCAGCCCCTGCCCCCCAGAACGCACACTTGGATGGGAGAGTGAATCCCCCAACCTGAGTCATCCCAAATCCTCCTTTTTCTGCTCACCACCGTACCCAGCCCCTCACCAAATTCAAATCTGGGCGGTCCTCCCTTAGCTGTGTCCTCTGAACCTCTTTCCCTCACCAGGTCTGTGCCCTCACTTTTTCTTGCCTTGGCTGGTTGGCTTCCCTTGCACCTGTAGTCCCCAAATGGCCACCTGGGAGTCTTCTAAGAACAAGGCTGACCTGCCCCTCCCCTGCGTAGTCCTTCGTGGTTTCCCATTGCTGACCCAGACGTGTGCCCCTCCTTAGCTCACATGTGGGGGTCCAGTCTGCCCACGGCCTCAGCTCTTCCACACTGTAGCCTCGTAGCAACTCGCTGTTCCCTGAACTCACTACCTTTCATCACTTGTCTCTGCATATGCTGTTCCCTTTGCCTGCGTCACCTTTCCAGCCTGGGAAACCTTGTCCTTCACCACAACTCCCCTCCACTGTGAACCTCATCTCCTCCAGGCCGAGCTGGTCGTTCTTAGTCTGGGCTCCAGTGCTGTTCCCATGTACCCCTTCTGTAGCCCTGCTTCTGTTTTGCCTCTTTCTATCCTAGTAAGCCTAGGTGCTGAGGGGCCAGAACTTTGTCATAAGAGTCATCTGCTGCATCCTCGACACCTAGGGAGGTCAGCGGTTATATGTTCCTTTGTGTGAACAAAGGAGAGAGCTTGCTTTAGTCCAGGTGGTCTGGGACAGCTCCCTGAGGTGCTGGGTTTGAGAGAAGCTTTCAAAGATGGTTGTGATTTAAATGGGAGGAACTTGGACAAGAGGACACCACAGGTGGGAGGAACACTGCCAGGCAAGTGCACAGCCAGTTTGTTCCAGGGAGACAGGGTACCAGAGCTGGCTTTAGGAGAGCAGAGGACGATGAGGTTGGGGGAAGATTTTACCGACAAGGAAGAGCTGCACTGTAGGCTGTAGCATAAGGCTACTGAAGGGTTGCCTTGGCTGGAAGCAGTGACGGGTCAGATCCTTAGGAAGGTCAGCGTGGCAAGTGTGCAGAGCGTGGGTCAGAGGTCAAGTTGGGGCTTGGTGATCACCGAGCAGCTGCTATAACAGTCTAAATCAAAAGTAAAGGATTCTGCATTTGTCTGTGCAGCGGTTCTCAGCTGTGGTTGCACAGGGAATCTCCTGCGGAGCTGTAAAGAAGCCATGCAGGGCCGTTCTTAGCCCAGACTGAGTTGTATCTGCCTAGAAGGCCTGATACCTCCTGGGCAGCCAGTTCGGACGAGCAGTCAGGTGGAGTCCACCTGGGCTGGTGCTGACTCACCTGAGGACTCGTGGCACATGGGTGTCTGTATCCTAGGGGATCTTCTCCCCTTCTGGAAGCCATGGCTCACCAAGGCCGTCCTTGGCAGTGCTGGCTGAGGCCTCCATTGTGGCATGGTGGTCACAAAATTGAAGTGTAGCCCTGTTTACCAAGTCCCTCTTGAGTACCTGCCAAGTGGAAAGAGACGTGGTGGCATTGCTGGGCCCTGTGGACTGTGTAGCTGCTTTCTGGTGACTAAGGAACTAAGAGGGCATGCCATCGGCTGCCAGGGATGCCTCACTCTTCCTGTCTGTTCAGAGCCCATTCAGTCCCGGTGTGCAGTGCTCCGCTACACAAAATTGACAGACGCGCAGATCCTGGCAAGGTTAATGAACGTGATCGAGAAGGAGAAGGTGCGGTACACTGACGACGGCCTGGAAGCCATCATCTTCACTGCCCAGGGAGACATGAGGCAGGTACGAGCGGCCGCTGCTGTTCAGGCATGGGCCTGCTGGGCTGCTCTGTGGGGAGGAGAGAAGTGCCTGCTGCCCAGGGACAGGGCTAGTCAGAGTGGCGGTGCTCAGCACTGCCGAGCGCGGCCGATGGCGAGCAGGCCTCGAGGGGGAGCTCTTCTTGGCCTCCAGGAAGAGGGGAAGGAAGGGCAGAGATTTAAAAGTCATCCCTGACGCGTTCTTTTTTTTTTTTTAACGTTGTGCTTTAAGTGAACGTTTGCAGTTCAAGTTAGTCTCCTTCAAAAATTTATACACACACTGCTGTGTGACCCTAGCTGCTGTCCTTATGCTGTGACAGCACACTCCTCCTTCCCATCCCGTACTTCCCATGTCCATTCAACCAGCTCTTGACCCTGTCTGCTTTCTCATCTCACCTCCGGACAGGAGCTGCCCGTTTAGTCTCATGTATCTACTTGAGCTAAGAGGCACTCTCTTCACGAGTATCATTTTATGTCCCATAGTCCAGTCTAATCTTTGTCTGAAGAGTTGGCCTTGGGAATGGTTTTAGTTTTGGGCTAACAGAGAGTCTGGAGGCCATGTCTTCCGGGGTCCCTCCAGTCTCAATCAAACCATTAAGTCTGGTCTTTTTACTAGAATTTGAGTTCTGCACCCTACTTTTCTGCTCCATCAGGGGCTCTCTGTTGTGTTCCCTGTCCTGATGCATTTTTGTTCGTCAATAGGCGTTGAACAACTTGCAGTCCACCTTCTTGGGATTTGGCTTCATTAACAGTGAGAATGTCTTCAAGGTAAGAACACTGGTTGGGACATCACAGTCTACAAAAGCAGGTTCCTTTGCTGGGGCTGGTGGTGAGGAAGGGGGACTTGATGGAAGGAAGGGTGGACGCTCTACTGTGTCACTGTGGCTGAAGCCTCCATCCGGGGGAGGGGCGCTCAGGAGCCGACCCTTCTCCCAGTTGTTCTGTCTCCGTCATCGGTTTTACTTTCACACACCGGAGGGTTGGGGGACTTTGGGATGTCACCAGTGTCGGACAGTGGAAGTACCAGTGGTGTGTCAGGCCCAGTGCTGGGTGCTCTCAATGTGTCTTATGTAATCTCACAACATACCCACCATGCAGATATTCTTTTTTTAAAACAATATATGTGATTTTAAACATTGGGAATTATAGCAATTATATATGTAACAAAGCATTTGCCTTTTAAACATTCTTTACATGTTCAGTGACAGCGACACGGAGATTCTTACCAGCACCTGGTAGATGAGGAAATGGGCTCAGGTCACGCAGGTAGCTTGCCCGAGACCACACAGGCGGGAGGGAGCACAGCACTGTCCCTCAGCAACTTCACACCCCATTCCCATTCCTGACATCCTTCTGCAGCCGGGCACCCTGCTTGCCGTGCTCGGCTCCCGGGGAGCAGATAGCCGTCCTCTTCAAAGCCAAACTGCGGAAAAAGACTCTCCCACGTTAGTGAAGGATTTTTCTTTTGGAAATTCTTTTTTTTTTTTTTAACTATAAATTTATTTTTGTCTTTACTGTGGTGAAATATATATTACAAAGCATTTGCCTTTTCAACCATCTTTATGGTATAATTTGGTAACTTTAGTTACAAGACTGTATTGTGCAGCCCTCATCACTATCCTTTTCCAAATTTTTAAAAAAATAATTTATTTCATTTTTGTTGTTGATTGGTGGAAATTCTTTTGATAACTGGCTACTATGTCCTAACACTCAGCATCTAAATGCTGTTTTGGAGACTGATTTCTCCCTTACTTGGGGGGAAGAATTGAGCAGAGTGCCCTTGCTTTCAGTCCACGACTCTGTCTTAGCAAGTCTTTGGGGGAAGAAAGCTGTGTTAAACCCACCTTAGCAGTGACTGTGTCTTCAAGGACACTTGTGGGAGGGAAACTTGCTTCGTAACCTGTGGAGATAGTTATGGTCATGTTTTACCCCGAAGTGAGCATTGAGGGCTCTGGAAACTGTGGCTTCTCAGGGAAGGTAACTGAATGGGGATGAGAAGACCAAGGGCAGGAGTGGGCACCATCTTGAGATATCAGAAGGCTTTCTCTCACTTAGAAGATGTAAAATGTGATGCTGCACTGGAGACAGAACCTAAGGCCGATGGAGGGAATTGCAGGCAGGCGGCCCTGGGAGTCGGGAGCTGAAGCACCACTCAGCGGGTCGCCTGTGGGGTGTAGGGTCCCCTGTCTTCAGGCCTTCATGCTGAGTCTGAGGACCCTTTGCGCGGAAAGCATATTCCTACTCTGGGTAGGAAATTTAGCCCAAATGACCTTTTAATTCTTAAGATAGGAAGATTCGAAGTGGTTCTGGGCCGGTGATTCCCCAGGTGATCCAAGAAGGTGATTAATGGTCTTAAAGCTGCCCCCAAGCAAAGACTCTCTACTGACCATTGTCTGTTTTGCTGTTAATTCATCTGTTGTTTGAGAAATTTGTAACTATGGTGCTGAAAGCTTTTCCTCACTGCAACAGGTTGACATGTACTTTTTCTCTTGGGTTGACTTCGGTGGTGAAAGGGGCCTTCCCAGACCCAGTTTTGTTTGCTGGAGAATTCCGTGAAAAGAGAAGTTGAGAAGTTGGCACATGTTTTGCCCAGCAGTTGGCCTGTTAGGGCCTCCGTTGCTGGCTCCTCCCACTCCTGACAAGCCTTTGTTCTTTGTTTGGGCAGGTCTGCGATGAGCCCCACCCCTTGCTCGTCAAGGAGATGATCCAGCACTGTGTGAATGCTGATATCGACGAAGCCTACAAGGTTTGCCTCTTCCCTGACTCAGGAGGAACCTTTTGTCTCTTGAGCTGCTAGAAGGAACCCTGACATGTGTTGCTCCATTTAATTCTTAAAATAATTCTAGGAGTTGGGTTCACTTTACAAAGGAGAAAACTGACTCAGAGGTTAAATTCCTTACCCTAAATCGCAGTGTTTGGAAGTAGCAGACCTGGAATTCACAGTCAGCTCTTTATATTATAATGATGTCTTCTACAAGAGGAATTTATCAACCTAAGATATGAGGAAGGACCAGTTCATCTCCTTCCTGTCCAGTGAAGCCATCTTTTTCTCTGGTGAGGGGAGGCTTCCGTCTCCGTCCTCCTGGGGAATACGAGAACAGGCCTTCTGTAATCAGGCTAGTATCCCCCTGGTCCACCAGGAGAAGAGGGACTAGGGGGATTCTAGCCTGATTATGGAGCCTGGCTCTGAGCAGATACTGCAGGCATGATTTGGGTTTAGGTGACCTTCAAGTCACATGGGTGGCAGTGGTGTGATTTAAGGCCACTGGTCTGATCACAGCAGGTTCTTTCCCTGCCTTTCCCCTCCTGCCCCCAGCTAAAGTAGGGTAGAAGTTGACTGGGTTTAGGGCAGAGCCAGACCTAGTGTGAAACTGGAGTGCAGGGCAGGGATGCTGAGGCATAGACCCAGGCACAGGGTCACCGAGTGAGCCCGAAGGAAGGCTTCACATTGATGGCCACAGAGCTTCCCTGCCCCCTGAATTCACCCCAAGATGCCAAAGCAAAGGCAAAAAAGACTGATTCCAGACCCTACAGTCTGGGTGGGGGTGGGATGCGGTTTCTAGAGCTGGGTTCTGGGATTTGAGAAGGTACAAGGCTGAGACTACGGTTAATCTCTGCCATGGTCAGGATTTGTTTGGGCCTAACCCTACGGGGCGTGCGTTATGCCTCCAGCAGCTGGGGAAAGCATAGCAGATGTCCTTCTTAGTAAGATGATTAATTACGCATCTTAAGAGCCTTAGGTAAGGGCATTCATTACGTGGTATGGTAGTAGACCATCCACAGTATAATTTAAAACATTTGCAATGTTACCTGCGTCTGCTGGGAGAATCAGTTACGTTACACCTCATGATTTAAAAGGCCTGGCAAACTGAGGTGTTGCTTGGCCCACCAACAGCTCTGTGGTGTTCAGGCGATTCTCAAAATGACATGAGTTGTCTGAGTTGATCTGTCTGCTCCCAGTAGGCACTCTCTCATGGTGTGATAGGCTGAAGATTGGTATGGGTTTGACTTCATTTCACCCTAGAGTCCTTATAGTTTACAGTGTTAAACAGCCTCACAGTATCTTCTTTTGTCTAGATTCTTGCTCACCTGTGGCATCTTGGTTATTCACCAGAGGACATCATTGGTAACATTTTTCGAGTGTGTAAAACCTTCCAGATGGCAGAATACTTGAAACTGGAGTTTATTAAGGTCAGTAAGAGTATAGACATGCCTGTTTCCTCAAGACTGTGGACCATGGTGTGTGCTTTTTTGTTTTGCTCACAGTCCTGGCACCTGGAAGATGCTCAGTGTTTCCTGACTGCAATGGAAGGGAGGGTGGTCGGCTGTCCTGAGGGCCAGGTGTTTGTTTAAGCCAGCTCTGCCAGTCAGTGGCCTGAGTGTTCCGTAGGATGACTCTTCATTAGAGGGCTTTTAAAAAATATTTTTATTTAGGTCAGGTTAATTGAGGTATAGTTTAATTGCTTATAGGTACATTATGCTACAAATGCATTCAGTTGGGTAAACACTGCCAGCAATCAAAATATAAAAGCTCTGTCATCCCCCCAAAAATTTACTGGGCCCCTTTATGGTCAGCTCTTTTCCTTAGCCCCTAGAAACCAGTGATCTATTTTCTGTCCCTATAATTTTGGCCACAGAATTTTCTAGAATGCATATAAATGGAATCATGCAGAATGTAGCCTTTTGAGTCTGGTGTCTTTAACTTAGCTTAATGGTTGATTCTTCTTTTTTGCTGAGTAATATTCCATTGTGTGGATGTATCGCAGTTTATCTGTTCACCAGTTGAAGGACATTTGGGTTTCCAGGTTTGGGTGATTATCAGTAAAGCTACTATAAACATTTGCATACAGGAGTCAGGGTGAATGTGAACGTAAGTTTTCATTTTCCTTGGGTAAATTCCCTGGAATGAGACTGCTTAGCTGAATGGCAAGTGTTGCCCTTTGCTCTTGTGTACCTCCCAGTGTCTTCCTTTGCCTTGATCATGTTGTGCTGACATCCACCTTATTGTGTGTTGTCTCTCCCTTCACCCAAGTTAATATGTGTCTACTGTCTAGTTAGTGATTTTCCTCCCCTCCGCTCCCATCCCTGATAACCCTCAAAGAATGTTTCTTACTGTGTGTGTTTTCTTGACTTTTTGTAATAGCGGTCTCATATAATATTTGCCCTTTTGTGATTGACTTATTTCCCTCAGCATAATGCCCTCCAGGTTGATCCATGTTGTGAGATGTTTCACAGATTCTTTAACGTTGTTTAGTACTCCATTGTGTGTATGTACCATAGTTTGTTTATCCATTCATCTGTTGATGGGCACTTAGGTTGTTTCCATCTTTTTGCTATTGTGAACAGTGCTGCCATGAACGTGGGTGTGCATATATCCGTGTCATGGCTCTTACTCCTCTAGAATATATATCTAGTAGTGGGATTGCTGGAGCCCTGGTGGCACAGTGGTTATGCGTTCAGCCACTAACCAAGAGGTTGGTAGTTCGAATCTACCAGCTGCTCCTTGGAAACCCTATGGGGTCACTGAGTCAGAATCGACTCAATGGCAGTGAGTTTTTAGTGGGATTGCTGCATCATAAGGTGTCTATTTTTAACTTTTTAAGGAAGTGCCATGCCAATTTCCACAGTGGTTGTAACATTTTATATTCTCATTAGCAGTGTATTAGACTTCTGATCTCCTGGCACCCCCACCAGCATTTGTTGTTTTCTGTTTTTTTGATCATTACTATTATTACCATGGTGAGGTGGTATCTCACTGTGGTTTTGATTTGCATCTCTCTAATGGGTAATGATCACAAGCATCTCTTGTTAGCCACCCAAATGTCCTCTTTGGTGAAGTGTCTGTTCATGTCCTTTGCCTACTTTTTAATTGGATTGTCTTTTTGTTGTTGAGGGGTTGAAGTTTTCTATACATTTTAGAGATTAGTCCCTTGTCAGATATGTTGCCAAAAATTTTTTCCCAGTCTGTAGGTTCTCTTTTCACTCTTTTGGAGAAGTCTTTCGATGCACATAAATGTTTAATTTTTAGGAGGTCCCAGTCTAGTTCATCTTGTGCTGTTTGTGCATTTTTAGTTATGTGTGATAGTCTATTTATGCCATAAATTAGGGCCCCTAGGTTTGCTCCTATTTTTTCTTCCATGATCTTTGTAGTTTTAGGTTTTACATTTAGGTCTTTGACTGATCTTGAGTTAGTTTTTGTGTATGGTGTAAGATATGGACCCTGTTTCATTTTTCTGCAAATGGATATCCAGTTGTGCCAGCACCATTTGTTAGAGAGACTATCTCTTCCCTGTTTAATGGATTTTGGCCCCTTGCTGAAGACCAGCTGTCCATAGGTAGATGGATTTACTTCTGGGTCCTCAATCATTTGTTTTGTTTTTTTTTCTTTAATTTTATTGTTGTTTGAGAAAATACACAGCAAAACATAAACCAATTCAACTGTTTCTACATGTACAATTCAGTGACATTGATTACATTCTTTGAGTTGTGCAACCATTCTCACCCTCCTTTTCTGAGTTGTTCCTCCCCCATTAACATAAACTCACTGTCCCCTAAGGTTCTACTGAGTTGCTGTTGTCAGTTTCATCCTATATTGATAGTTCTTAAAAGAGCATGATGCTCAAGGCAGACATTTTTTACCAGTTAAGCTAAACTGTTGTTTGGTTTTAAGATGACTTCAGGGGATATTTTTGTTTTAAGGTTTAAAGATTATCTCAGGGCAGTAGTTTCAGGGGCTCATCCAGCCCCCATGGCTCCAGAAAGTCTGGAACTTCGTTCCTTTTTATTATTGAATGATCTTCCATTGTATGGGTGTACCACACTGTGTTTTTCTATTGGTGGACATCTGTGTTGTTCTGTTTTTTGGCTGTTGTGAATAATGCAACTAGGAACATTAAGTTTTTGTGGACATAATGTTTTCAGTTCCCTTGGATATATACCTAGGAGTGGAATTGCTAGGTCATATGTAGTTCTATGTTTAGCTTTTTGAGGAACTGCCAAACTATTCCACAGTGGCTATGCCATTTTACATTCCCACCGGCAATCCTACTGGGTGTGAAGTGGTATCTCATTGTGGTTTTGATTTACATTTCCCTAATGACTAATGATGTTGAGCACATTTTCATGTGCTTATTGGCCATTTGTATATCTTCTTTGGAGAAATATCTTTTCAGATCCTTTACTTGTTTTTTAATTGGCTTGTTTATCTTTTTGTTGTTATTACTGAGTTTTATTTTTCTGGTGTTTTCATTTTACTCTTACAGTTTCTCCATCTTTTCATGCATGTTGTCCACTTTTTCCACGAGAGCCTTTAGCATATTAATCATTATTATTTTAAATTCCCAGTCTGATAACTCTGATATCTGAGTCCTATCTAGTCAGGTTGTTGATTGCTTTGTCTCTAGATAGTGGGTTGTTTTTCTTGCTTTTTTGTGAGTTTTATAATTTCTGTTGAATGCCAGACATTGTATAGGACAGTAAAAAACGGAGATAAATAGTATTTATGCCTGAAAATGGGCACACCTTTTCTTCTGCTGAGCATCGTGTGGGGCTTTGAGTCAAACTAGTCAGGAGTTGAACTGAGTTTGGGTTTTGGGTTGTTATGATTACCTCCATTGTACTACCAGCTTCAGACTTCTTTATTGTTACCTTGTACTTTTTCCTCAATATTTTTGCTCTACTCTCAGCTTTGGGAGGCAGCGGTGGTTCAGTGGTAGAATCCTCCCCTTCCATGCAGGAGACTGGGTTCAGTTCTGAGCCAGTGCACCTCATTTACAGCCACCCACCGTCTTGTCAGTGGAGGCTTTCGTGTTGCTATGCTGAACAGGTTTCAGTAGAGTTTCCATACTAAGATGGACTAGGAAGAAAGGCCTGGCAGTCTCCTTCCAAAAATCAGCCATGGATCACACAGTCCAGTCCCCAAGTGATCATGGAGATGGCACAGGACTAGGTACCGTTTCATTCCGTTGTATGTGGGTTCGCCCTAAGTTGGGGGCCGACTCAGCAGCAGCTAACAACAACAGTAGCCCTCAGCTTTAGGCCCTCTGTGTGCACCTTCTCCTCAGGGCAGACTCTTGCCATTCTCCTGCCCCTCCTCAGTGGTAGACCCCTGTTGGTTGTTACTCCGTATCTGCTAGCCTGGTGTGGGGGACCACAATGGGTCACTACCCGTGCTCTAGTGGTGACAGGGTTTGCCGGCTGCCCTGCCCTCAATGACTTAAGGCTGCCCTGCCCTCAGTGACTTAAGGCTTTTCTTACTCAGGGGAGACATGTCCAGGAGAGGCTTTGTGTTTCTCCTGTCCTGCTGCCAGCACAGGAGGAGCTTCGAGGGGGTGCGGTCTCACCTGATCTAGCCCTCCATGGAGCCACACAAACTTAGCCATTAGCAGTTGCTTAAACTTGTTGCCCTGTACAGGCTGTGTTTCTCCCTCCTGTGCTCTCCCTCAGGTGAGCCAGTGCTAACGTGCAGCTCTCCTTGGAGGTGCCTGTCTTCCCTGGAACTTCAGACTTCGGTGTCTCTTGGATTTCTCACTCAGTGAAGAAAAGTCATAATTTTGTAGATCATCGGCTTTTCTTGTTGTTAGGATGGGAGTGACGTCCTTTCCAGCCCTCATCATCCTTGGTGGAAGCAGAGCCCTCTCTTCACTACAGGCTTGCTTGTCTTTTCTGTTTCTTCATGAAGGAATTCTCAGGGCCCCAGGGTGGTCTCGATGGGTGACTCCTGAACACTGGCTACCTCAGAATGAGGTGGCCTGACTTATCTGCTCCACCTGAAGTGGGTCTGCCTTTGAAGGCCATGGTTTTGGTTTGAGGGGCTCTTACCCTTTTTTCAGGCCTGACCTTTTTGCATCTGAGACTGTGGGTCCTCTCCACAGAACACCACACAGGAACTCAGCCTTGCACACCATCTCAGAGGTTCTCAGGAACCTTCCAGAGCCAGTTCTCAGACCCTCCAAAGTCCAAGGTTAAGAAGTTTCTGCTTGGTTGTCATAAAATATCAGCATCCTTTTAGGAAATAAATTGAACTTTGGTTAAACATAATCCATTACATCTTAGAGTTCATTTTCCAACTAGAGTTTGAGTTCGTTGCATTGGTTTTGAATAAACCCCTGGATCAGATTTAAAGAATAAACTCCACTCTCAGTTGTTAACCAGATTTAAATTTGGTGTGTTTTCCAGGAAATTGGATACACTCATATGAAAATTGCAGAAGGTGTGAACTCCCTCCTGCAGATGGCTGGGCTCCTGGCCAGGCTGTGTCAGAAGACAATGGCCCCAGTTGCCAGTTAGTGCGGAGGCGTCGTCCTTGACTGGGCTGCGTGAGTCCTCGTTCCTGAGAGACAGGGGTCACAGCCTTCTGACTTGGAGACGATGCCTCAGGCTGGTGCTGGAGTGTGTCTCCTTTAAACTACCACTGCTGCTGGCGCATCTCACATCTCTCAGCTGCTTAGACTCACAGGTGTGTGACAGGCAGAAAGTCCCCAGAGAGACTCAGGGGCACGGCATGGGATCTCTGTGTGTGCTGGCATTATATAATAAAGCCTTTCAATGTGGACAGTTTGGGAGCTTTCTTCTCTCTCCTGCCCTGCCTTCAGACTTGACTTTAGTGCTGGAGAAGGTCTGTGGAGAAGCATCTGCAAGTGGGTACAGTCTCCCCTCGTGTCAATAAGGGGACAACACAAGGTCTCGAGGAAAACCTCCGCCTGTCTCTGTGCTTGCCCCCGGCTTCCGACAGTAGAAAAGGTGGTTTAGATAACAGAGTGGACAAGCTAATCTCAGTGTCCCTGGAAGCCTGAAGGGACCGGTTCCTGGGGTGAGGGCAGGGTTTGGTGTACTTTGCTGACTGTTTGACTTCTCAGAACTGCTCGGGGCGATGAGCCGTTCCTAAAGGGGACACAGAGCATATGCTCAGGGAAATTCCAGCCACGGCACCGTCCCTGCTGTGTAGTGATCTGTGCTGACAGCTGTAGAACCCCCCAGGGGATTTTATATGAATTTGTAGAATTGCTTTTCTTAGGAAGGTACTTTTTTTTTAATTTTGAAAAATTTCAGTTGTATAGAAAAGTTTTTGTTAGCTGTTGTCCAGTCAGCCCCGACTCACGGTGGCCCCATGCACAATGGAATGAAATGCTGCCCAGTCCTGCACTGTCCTCATGATTGGTTGTCATCAGACTCTGGGATCCATAGGGTTTTCATTAGCTGATTTTCAGAAGTAGATTGCCAGGCCTTTCTGCCTAGTCCATCTTAGTCTAGAAGCTCCCCTGAAACCTGTTTAAGGTCATAGCAGCATGCAAACCTCCACTGACAGATGGGTGGTGGCTGTGCATGAGACACATTGGGTGGGAACCCGAGTCTCCCGCATGGAAGGTAAGAACCCCCACTGCCCTCTATACAGAAGGAGATAGAATGATGATAGTGAACCCTTCAATATGCATCATTCACCTTCAACAATTTCATCAGCACATGGCCCATCTTGTTTCCTGTGTACTTCCACCACCCAACCCAACTCCCAGGTTATTTTGAAGCAAGGACTAGACATCATTTTAAAATGATGTTTTTAAGGGGAGGGAGGTGACATATCTTCCATGACTGGTGGCCTCATGTGCAAAGCTTTGACAACATACTTGTGTGTCATGCTGGCTTCCCCCACCCTGCGGGCTCCCAGAGGTGTGGCTGCATATCCTCCTCTGCAGATAGTGCTGGGGCAGCTGGGCTGGCCCATGTGCTTTCTCTTGTCCCTTTCACTCCCAGCCCCAGCTTCATTTGGAGCGGGAGGGACCTGCTAGCATTCCTACTTAGTGCCATCCCTCCCGGGTAGGTTCAGTCACTTCCCAGACTGCACTGTCAAATAGGGACACAAAATGGACCCAGGAAAGGCTCCAAGATTCCTGGCACTTTGAGTTAGGGTCTTAATTAAGAGGAAAAAAATAAGGCCCTCAAAAATTGCAAGGTAAAGTTTTACAAAACACTTTCACATGATTCTAAGTCTTCAGTTTTTTTTTTTTATCTTGAGCCTCACATTCCCTGTGAGGTGAAGGAATGATTTTGTCTGTGAGAATACTGGGCCCAGAGAGGGGTCTTGTGTCCAACAGTCTGCAGTGGGAGAGCCAAGACTCCTGGGGTTTTAGCTCCAGAGCTGGTGTCCATAATTACCACAGCCCAACACTGAACCTTGGTTTAGAGTCTCTTGCCTCTGAGCTTGTGGGGTCAGGACTTCAGTGTGGAAAGTGACAAGTAGCCAACAGCTGTGTCCTAGATGGGTTTTTTTTTGCGTTTTTGAACTTGTGGCATTAACTTCTTCTCATGCATGGTGGGGCATCCTGCAAGGGTGTTAGGCTCAGGGACCAGGATCCTGTCCCAGCCCCACCTCTCTGGGCCTTGGGTCCCTTCTGTTAAATGGGAGGTTTGACCTTGATTACCTTGAGGCCCTGCAGTGCAATGGATCACTTTTATATGGCCTTAATAGCCATGATCTCGTAACCCCCACCAAATGATTGAGTGGGACTATGCAAATAAGGTGCTTGTGGTCCACCAAGGGAGTTGGATAGCTTGCTAATTATGCAAATAAGGTGCATGGCACCCTTGTACGGGTGAGACAATGGAAGTAAGGTGTATGAAACCCTAATGAGAGGATTGGTCGGTTTTGCCATCCTGCTAGGCTTAAATGAGCAATCCCGGAGGTGGAAAGGGGGGACTTCACTACCACCAAGCAGAAGAGACAGGGAGCAGAGCGCATTCTTTGGATCTGGAGTCCCTGTGCTGAGAACCTCCTAGACCCAGGAGACAGAGAGAGAGAGAGCTGTAACACTGGAGACAGCACGAGACGACAAGAAGTGGTGGCAAGCGTGGCAAAGAACCAGCAACAGCAGAACCAGGAGACCAGCAGGAGATGGCGTGGTGGGCTTCCCAGCCCACGGAGTGAGAGCGCTGAGTGCCTTTGGGCAGGAGGCTTGCCGGCAGGGTGGGGTGACTCTGGGCACTTATCAGTGGAGCAAAAGAGCTTTGTAACACTTGCCTGAGCAGGGCAGAGGCTGGGCCAAGAGGCCCGAGGGGCCGAGAGGCCTGCCTGTGGGCATGGCCAAGAAGCTGTCCTGACTGAAGAACTGTATCCTGAGTTGTTCCTGATCCTGAATTGTAACGTAATAATATTGACCCCATAATCATTGAGTATTGTCTGTGAGTTCTCTGTGGCCACTGCAATGAATTACTGAACCCAGCAGAGGAGTAGAGAGTGCCATGGGAGGGCTGGCTGGTGTCAGAACTGGTAAAAAGGTTGGAGAGGAGGTATGTCTGACCTCTGCTTCATAGGAATCAGCCTTGGGCTGTTGACGCTGATAATGAGTCTCTCTCCTTCCCTTTGTGAAGTTAGAAGAGCTCAGATGCCCCTGCGCATCCATGTTTTACAGGCCACTCTAGGCCTCTCAGTCTGGTTGTTTACATGAAACGGGAAAGAACACAGGAGAACGACTGCTCTTAAACTGAAATGGTTTATTGACAGGTTTAGGTTGAGGCGCTTTCTTTTCCTGATTGTGGTTTTTCTGACTTAGAATGGTCCCCTTGGGCCCTGCCTTTCCCCTGGGACAGCCATGTTACTGCCCAGTCAGCCAGCCCAGAGCAGGGGAGTTTTCGGGGCAACTGTCGGGATCCCCTCCTGGTCCAGGGGCCTTGGCCACTGTCTGACCGCTGCCTCCCAAGACTGTGATGTACATTTTGTCCACAGAAACATTTCCATCAAAGGCACACGACGCTATAAAAGATGGTTATAGTTGCATTTCCTGAGTGTTCTGAGGCCCAGAGACAAGAGTGCCCCACAGAGGGTAAAGGAGAGAAAAGGCTCCCCCAAATCAATATGCTGAAGTTAAGTCCATGTAATGCTTTATAGGCGACAAAGTAGACAAAAATCTCTAGGCTGAAGTGTAGAATATTAAATATAGCTCCACCTATATAAATTAACTGTACAAGCTTATCAGTCACTAAGAAATGGCAGCAGCCGACAGTAATCATCAATTTAGGATCCAAATCCAAAGCAAAAAAGGACGCGAATACAAGTGTTGTAGGATGTTTTAGATTAGGGGGTGGGCGGTGCACCTGCCCTCACTCTTGGCATCAGATCACAGTGGGAACCACCTTTCCCTCGCACCACTCGGCCCCGCCCTGTGGAAGCCCAGGTCAGGGAGAGGGCTCTGCAATTCCCAGAGTAACTGTCCATCCCTAGCGCCTCTTCCCAGGCCGTGCTGCCCACGGCCCTTCCAGAACGACGCGGCTAGGTGTGTAAACTGGAGCAGTTGTGGCAAAGTGATCCCTGAGAGGCAGCAAGCGGTTCTGTGAGCTCAGCGACTTCCTTTGCTCTTTTGCCTTGGCTCCTGCACTGAAGAAGCAAAGAGTTTGTTAAAAGGAAAAGGTTTGCCTTTGCTGGGATTTTGTTCCCTCAGCACTGGAGCAGCTGGCTGAGGGAGGGGAGCAGGTGCTACCCAGTGACCCCCAGCATTCAGCCGCCCCCCCTGCAGCGGCTGAGGAGCACCTGCCATCAAGCAGCTTTGACCTGTGTTTCTTACTCCAGGCACTTCTGCTTTTAGTTTGAAGTCTCAACTATACCTCTTGATCTCGGCAAAGGCTGTGGTGGTTCTGCCCTCGCACCTACTGCAGGCACTTCCTCTGCAGAACTGCTGGTGGCCTTTCCTGAACATGTCCCATGCCAGGGTGCACCTCTTCGAGATCCGTCCTTTCCCATAATATACAGACAGTACCTACAAGTTTTCTCAAGTGCTGTCTTCTGCTTGATGGACTCAGCTCACCTGTCGTCTGCCTTACTGACAGCCCTTCAGATTAGAACAGTGATTGGGCCACTCCAGCGTTTTCTTGGGGCCCACTGGGAATGCTCAAATGTGGGATCAGGCCCTTCCTTCTGTGCCTGGATGTGATTCAGGAGGTGAATGGTTCCATCCTGCCGTAGCCTGGGAGTCCTGGTTAGGCACTCGACTACTCATCAAAAGGCTGGCAGTTTGAATCCATCCAGCGGCACCTCAGAAGAAAGGCCTGGCTTCCGAAAAATCAGCCATTGAAAACCTTATGGAGCAGAGTTCTACTCTGCACACACAGCGTAGCCATGAGTTGGGCAGCTAGTTCGGTTTTTTGGTTGCCAGAGTCTGACCCAAACACCTCTACCTACTATGTCATTTCAGTCAGCATATAGCATCCTGCGATTGATTTCATCTCAAGAACCTTCACGATCCCCTCCAGCTAGTCTGCTTCTCTCTAAAGTGAAACTTCCAGAATGATCTCTACTCCCTGTCTTTGACTCCTCCCCTGTTCTCTGTGGAGTGCAAACAGGCCTTTCCCCACCACCACTCCACCCGCCAGCTCGGGTCACCAGTGAACACGGTGCTCGGCTCCCAGTCCTCATCTTCACGACCTCCCTGAAACTGTCCTTGGCCCCCAGGACACTTCCCCTGGCTGGTTTCTCACCTCGCTGACAGCCCTGCACATGGGAGGGCCCGGAGCTCAGTGCTTGGGCCTTTTCTCTCTAGTTTCTCTGCCTTTCCATACCATCTGTTCAGGTTACTGAACCAAGTCTGTGTCTCCAGCCTGAACCATCCCCCCGAGTCCAGGTTCAGATATCTAGCTGCCCACTTCCTGCTTCCACCTGGCTGTTCAGTATGCGTCTATCTCATCCTTTGTTGTTCTTAGGTGCGGTCGAGTAGGTTCCGACTCATAGCGACATTATGTATTACAGAATGAAACTCTGCCCGGTCCTGCGCCATCCTCATGATCGTTATACTTGAGCTCATTGTTGCAGCCACTGTATCAATCCACCCACCCTCTACTTTACCAAGCATGATGTCCTTCTCCAGGGACTGATCCCTCCTGATAACATGTCCAAAGTATGTGAGAGAAGTCTCACCAACCTCCCTTCTAAGGAGCATTCTGGATGTACTTCTTCCAAGACAGATTTGTTCGTTCTTTTAGCAGTCCACGGTATATTCCATATTCTTCACCAACACCACAATTCAAAAGCATCAATTCTTTGGTCTTCCTTATTCATCGTCTAGCTTTCACATGCATATGAAGTAACTGAAAACACCATGGCTTGGGTCAGGCACACCTTAGTCTTCAAAGTGACATCTTTGCTTTTTAACACTTTAAAGAGGTCTTTTGCAGCAGATTTGCCCATTGCAATGCGTCATCTGATTTCCTGACTGCTACTTCCATGAATGTTGATTGTGGAGCCACAGAAAATGAAATCCTTGACAACTTCAATCTTTTCTGTGTTTATCATGATGTTGCTTATTGGTCCAGCTGTGAGGATTTTTGTTTTCTTTATGCTAAGGTGTCATCCATACTGAAGGCTGTGGTCTTTGATCTTCATCAGTAAGTGCTTCAAGTCCTCTTCTCTTTCAGCAAGCAAGGTTGTGTCACCTGCATAACACAGGTTGTTAATGAGTCCTCCTCCAATCCTGATGCCTCATTCTTCATATAGTCCAGCTTCTCAGATTATTTACTCAGCATACAGATTGAATAAGTATGGTAAGAGGCTACTACCCTGAGGCACTCCTTTCCTGACTTTAAACCATGCAGTATCCCCTTGTTCTGTTTGTTCTGCTTGATTTATGTACAGGTTCCTCATGAGCACAATTAAGTGTTCTGGAATTCCCATTCTTTGCAATATTATTCATAATCTGTTATGATCCACACAGTTGAATGCCTTTGCATAGTCAATAAACACAGGTAACCATCTTTCTGGTATTCTCTGCTTTCAGCCAGGATCCATCTGACATCAGCAGTGATATCCCTGGTTCCACGTCCTCTTCTGAATCCAGCTTGAATTTCTGGCAGTTCCCTGTTGATGTACTGCTACAACCGCTTTTGAATTATCTTCAGCAAAATTTTACTTGTGTGTGATATTAATGATACTGTTCAATAATTTCCACATTTGGTTGGATCACCTTTCTTTGGAATGGGCACAAACATGGATCTCTTCCAGTCGGTTGGCCAGAAGGCTGTCTTCCGAATTTCTTGACACAGACGAGTGAGCACTTCCAGCGCTGCATCTGTTTGTTGAAACATCTCAATTGTTATTCCATCAGTCCTTGGAGCCTTGTTTTTCGTGAATGCCTTCAGTGCAGCTTGGGCTTCTTCCTTCAGTACCATCAGTTCCTGATCATATGCTACCTCCTGAAATGGTTGAACGTCAACCAATTCTTTTTGGTACAGTGACTCTGTGTCCAAAAATCACCTGGCCTTCCCCATCAAACGTGCTGCACCTCTCGCTGTCCACATCCCAGTGGCTGACAACATCCTTCATTTGCTCAGGCAAAAACTTCAGCCACCCTCCACTCCTCTCTCCCACCTCATTCACATCCAGCAGAGCAGTAAGTGCTGTTGGCCCTCCTGCAAAGTGCATTCAGCCGCACATCTCACCGGCTGCGCTGCCTCCACCCTGCTCCAGGGTGCTGTCACCGCTTTTCCTGAATTGGGGCCTTCACTTCCTTACTGGTCTCCCTGCTTCTGCTCTTGTCCCCTGTGTTCATTTCTCAGCCAGTGGGCCTTAAAAACATTGAGGCACTCCATTTAAGACCTCCTGATGCCTCCCCTTCTCACTCAGAAAACACTCAGGTTCCTATGCCCGCGTCCTACCTCGACCTTTGTTACTTTCCCCTTTACTCCCCCTGCTCCAGCCCCCTTGCCCCCCTTAACCAGTAAATCATATGCTGTTGACTTGACTCCACGTGTCAGAGTAGAACTGTGTGTGCTCCACAGGGTTTTCTATGGCTGATTTTTGGAAGTAGTTCGCCAGGCCTTTCTTCCAAGGCACCTCTGGGTGGATTCGAACTGTCAACTTTTGGTTACCCGCTGAGTGCCTTATCTGCTTGCACTCCAGGGACTCCCTGGCCTCCTTGCTGTTGCCACCTGCTGGGCATGCTCCTGCCTCAGGGCCTGTGCTGTTTGTTCCCCTTGCCTGGAACGCCCTTCCCCAGAGGGGTGAGGAAGGGGCTCAGACAGAAAGAAGGGCATTTATATTACAACACTGCCTCTCCCCCCACCCATATTACTCCCTGCTCCCCTTCCCTGCCTTATTTATCTTCACAGGATTTATCACCATTCCACACTGGGTTTACTTACTCTGTTAATATTTATGATCTCTCCCACAAGAAGGTAAGCTCTAAGAGGTCAGGAATTTTGTGCGTTTTGTTGATTACTGTGTCCCCAGAACCTAAACTTGCCCGTAGCAGGTGTTTACCCATATTTAATGAATGAATGAATGAATGAATGGCGGGGCTCTGGACCCTGGGCTCAAACTCCTGTGGCTGACGCCGTGCTGGCCCCCGGGGCACCGTGACTATGAATCCTCCAGCCTGCCGGCTGATATGTGCGCCCTTTCTTCCACGTCAGGCCTGTGGGCAGCCCTGCCCAAGTCTGCGTGGTCGTCCTGCCTCCCAAGCATAGCCTGGTCATAGCCTGGTGCCAGTGTCTGGCTGCTGGGTCCCTGTCCCCTTCTCCACCCAGCCTCTCAAGAGACGTGTGTGGGGCACTGAGGGCCATGCTGGCCCACGGGGGCGCCTCAACACATTTCAGCCACTTGTCAACAGCACCAGCACCTCTCAGTCCCCACCTCTCCACTTGCCTGATTCCTGCCCTCATGACCAGGTCCTGCCTGATGCTTCACCTGCAGTCTTATCTAAGAGGTAGACACCAACAGCTCCATTCTGCAAGTGAGGAAGTGCGTTCTCTGGGCGCGCAGTGAGTCGAGAGTGGAACTAGGAGACCCACCCCTTTACTTCACAACTCCCAGACGCCTGGCCAAGCGCTGCTGTGGGCCCCTGCCAGGCCTGCGGCTGCAGGGGGAGCCAGGCAGGCATGCTGGGGGCATCTCCCCTCTGCTTGAGATACAGAGCCCTCACCCTGCCGGGCCGCCCCTTCCAGCACCGTGTGCTCCCCCAGGAGACCTTGCCTGCAGCCAAACTCTGTTGGAGCCCAGTGAGGCTGCCCCAGGGGGCTGTACCTTCCTGTGGTTCTGCTAGGTGTCCCTGGCCACCGTGACCTCATTCACATAGTCTGGCTCACTGTCGTCCTCGTCGGGGCTTCCTGCCAGGGAAGGAGGTGCTTCACCCAGGACAAGCTCTGTGGATGATGGGCAGGTGGGTGGTCAGATGAGTCACGGGACACACGGCCCCAGTCCCCCTGCTGAGTGCTCCAGCTGCAGACAGACTCCACGAACCAGCCCGTGTGAAAGGACACACTGGATAGGACTTGGGTGCTGTCTGTCCTGTCTCCATGCGGGGGTCTCTGGGAGCGGAACTATGGGATTGGCTGGGCTGGCCAGGGAGGACCTCCAAGACCAGCTCCTCCAAGCCCCCCAGACTCTCCTCGCCCTCACCCCAAGCCACTCTTGGAGCCTGTTTAAGCTGGCCGCTGGCAAGCTCTGCCCTCAGGCCACGTACCCACAGCCCTCCTGGACTCCCGCCACTGTTGGATGGATGCCGAATTCTGGTAGTCCTCGGAGTTGTCATCTGTATTGGGGCGAGCATGGGGGTGGCAGACGGACGGCCACGGTGATTCCTCAGGGCCCACTCTACCAGGTATCCTGCCCTCATTTCGGGCAGCTCGGTGAGGGAGGACGGTGCCCCCAGCACATCCCCTCTGTCACCAGGTGCTGAGGGTGCCACCCCCCAGGACCCCTGGGGCAATGCTTTACCCAAAGGCACCAGAGAAGAACAATGCCTTTGGGCAGGGGGACTTCAACCCTCACAGTCTGGCCCAGACAGGGCCACGGAGGCCCACTCCCCTTGCCCACCCCTCGGCCCAGCTGCCTCACCTGGCTCGGGGGTTCCTGGCCTGCAGATGAGCACGTTCTGGTAGGAACTGGAGTCGTCCTCATCTGCCAGAAAGGCCCCGCCCACTGAGCAGGCTCCCTCTTCCCTCCCTCCCTCCCTCTCAGGTGACCTGTCCTGCTTGCTCCTGGCCCTGTGGGCCCCCAGGGCCTCAAACACCTTCCCCAGGAAGCTTTTTGGCAGGTGCTGGCATGGCTCCAGCAGCTTCCACCTGGCTCCTGCTCTGTCTTCCCAGGGCACTGGGTGCACAGGGGAGGGAATCAGGAAGGGGCTGTGCACAGAGGCAGGGAGGAAGTGACAGCCTCAGAGGCTCCGGCCAGGGAGCCGCTGGGTGCTGGGAGGGGCTGGGCAGCACCAGGAAGCAGCCTGAGACATCCTGAGGCCAGACTCCTTCCATGAGGCTTAAGAGCTCTTTGCCCAGGAGCCCGGCTTAGGGGCATGTCACGAGGAGCTGTGTGAAAGGGGCCCCACCTAGCCCTTCTCAGGGGGAAGAAGAGCCCCTCTCTCTCCACCATGGTGCCCTTCCCCTGCATGGCCCAGCAAGGAGCGCCGGTTGGGAGCTGGATTCAAGCTCCAGGCCAGGGTACCCATTAGCAGGTGCTCCCCACCCTTCTAAAGCTAAGGTGTTAAAAGGTCTTTAGTCCCAGCTTCCTCAGAGTGTGCTGGGCTTGGCGTCCACCAGCACGGCTACCTGTCCTGAGCCTTCCTCCCAGGCCCCAGATGTACTGGATGACAAGGGCCCAGCCTCCTGCCCCCACCTCCAACTCTCTCTCCCGTTTCCTCCCTTTTGTGGGCCACTCCACTCTCTCCTGCCCCTTTTCTTGGCACCAGCCTCCCACTGTCTACTCATCCAGCTCCCACCAACCCACCCAAACCTGGGCCCAGCCGCCCCCTCTGTGTCCACCAAGCACCTTTTCTGCCACCAAAGTGTGGCTTCTGAGGCTCAGCTCTCGTGCTTTTTCCTCCCACACCCCACACCTCGCTCTCTCCCTCACCTTCCAGGGGCTTCCGGAACTGCCCCCAGTTGTAATAGTCCACGGCAACGGGGTCTCTGGCCAGGAAAACAGACACAGCAGGGGTTGCATGGCAGGCCCGTGGTGGGGGGTGGGGGGGCAGCATGGGGGAACAATGAGGTTAGGGCTGCTCCAGCCATCAGCTCCCTGGGTCCCAGGGGCCTCTGCCAGCATCTCCCCACCCCCGCTCCTCTTTCTATCTCCCCCCCTTGGCCCCCCTGAGCCACCCTGGGGCTGGAGGAGGCTGCAGCCTGGCTCTAGCCACTTTGCCCTTGCTATGAGCACGGGTCCCTGCCTGCCCTGGGCCTCAGTTTGCCCATCTGTGAAATGAGAAGACAGCCCCGAGGCCGTTCCTCCTGGGTTTCCAGGCTTCACCTAACTTGTCTTTGAATAGATGCCCCTCCCCCCAGAGCAGGCCCTTGTCCCTCTCCCACCAAGGTATGGTTGCCTGAGGGGCAACAGTGGATCCAGAGTCTATTCTAGATGAGGAAGCCAGGGCAGTGGCGGACAGGGGACGGGCAGGGAGAAGGCCACTCACACGTAGGCTGCATCTGATCCGTGCCTGCTTCCTGCAGCAGGAGAGAGTTAGGCCTGAGCTGGGCTGTGACCCCACCCCGGCCCACCCCTGGAGCCCGCCTACCTTTGCTGAAGTTCTGGTACCTGGGGGTTGCAGACCCTGGAAGGAAGGCCAGGCTCATTACTGCCCTCTCCTTGGCCTGCCCCTGCCCAGCTGACCCCCCAGGAGGGCAGGTGCCTTCACCCCTCTGCACCTGCCTCTATCCACCAGGCCAGCTCCCTGGCCCTCCCAGCCCAGTGTCTCCTCTGAGAAGGCCTCCCTGTCAGGCCTGTGATCCCTGGCTCCCCAGGCATCCCCTGGCAGTACCTGTCCGGCCATGTGTTCACCTACCTCAATTGCACCTCAGCTAGGCCTGCCCCTGCCCCACCCTTGTGTCCGGGGTCACTCACCCTCAACGCTGGGGGAGAATTGCAGCAGCTTGTCCTTCCTGCAGGGGTTGGGGTAGGAAGAGGCTGAAAGAGGTGCCAGGGGGATAGGCCCCAAGGCTTCTGGGGGCCTGAAGGCCCGGGCCTCACCCCACAGCCTCCCTGGTGGGGCCCTCGCGATCAAGCACTAAGACCCGCGGAGGGATAGAGGTCTTGGCCTGGGCTCAGCCAGGTGGAGACCCCCAGGACCCTCCTTCTCATCCCCCTGTGGGGCTGTGACCTTTTCAGGGCCCAGGACAGGGAGCTCATTCCTACCTTGTTTGTGCCGTGTCAGGGGCTGCGTCCACCAGGGGGTCTGCCCATGCCTGCCTGATCACTGCAAAGGGCAAGGGGGTTTCAGTCAGTCCCCAGCCCACCCAGCTGGCGTAGCCCCACCACCTCCTTATCCTACCAGATCTGGCCCACAGGGTGATGGGGACAGAAGGGACCTAGACGTGACCACCCCCAGCCCTGAGCCAGCCCAGGCCCTGAGGGGACTCACAGGAGTATGTCCGAGCCACTGCAAAGCTCTGTTGATTCTCTTGTCTGTAAACACAGGGGCTGTGATGAGCTGGGTCCTGGCCTCCCCCAGCCCAGGGGATAGGGGACAGGAGAGATGGACAAACAGACGGGGAACAGAGAAGGGAGGGATGGACCAGGGTGAGAGCGGAAAGGAGGGCCTCTCCTGATACCCCAGTTTTCTGGACTGCTGCCCTCACTGGGTGCCCAGCCTTCACATGGCCAGCCAGACCCACCCCCGACATGGCCCACCCTGCCTGGGGCCACAAGCCCGCCGAAGACAGTTGGCAGGGGTCTATGGGCAGGGCTAGGAAGCAGCCCTGACGTCGGGGGCATGAGGGCAGCTGAAAAGGTCTCTGACCCTGGCCCCTTGCTCAGGGACCCAGCTGTGACTTTGGAAAATGACTGCAACCAGGAAGGGCAAAGAGACCTCCCCCCACCCCCAGGGGTATCTAACATTCCCATGGGAGCATGCCCTTCCTGGGATGTTCAAACACACCATTTATTCTCAAATAACCAATGGGACAACACCAAAGCTTAGCAGACACTGACACTGTTCTCCCCTTCTTCCTTTGAAAAGAACCCTGGTTTTTATTTAGGTAGCCATGTGCCCCCCTAACAGACTATTTCCCAGCCTCCCTTGCATCTAAGTGTGCCATGTGATTACGCTCTGGACAATGAGCTGTAAGCCAAAGTTGTTGGAACTTCCAGGGAAATCTCCTTAGAAGGGCCACTGCTAGCCTTCCCCCCTTCTTTCTTCTTACTGCCTGGAATACAGAGATGAGGGCTGGAGCTCTAGCTGCCATCTTAGACCATGACATGTCCTTGAGAACAGAGGTCACACACTAAGGATGGTGAGTAGACTAGCTCATCAGCAGGGAGGTCTCTGGGCCTCCCCAGGACCAGAATGGGCAGACCTGGCCCTGCCCTCCAGGAGATCCTGAGGAATCAGGGGTAGGGGTGACTTGATTTAGGAGGTATGCCCTAAATTCGCAGGAGGGAGTCAGGCATGGCTTCCTGGAGGAGGTGATGCAGGAGCTGGGACTGGTGCACACAGTAGCTGCTTCATGCAGGCTGGCGGGACTGAACCCAACAGAGGTGGGAGTTGGAGCGGCAAGAAAAGGTGTTCCAGGGAGGGGAGCAGCCCAAGGCCCCCTCCTGCCTTCTCCCACATGAAGAGGTCTAGACTCTGGCCCTGACAGTCTACTGCTCCAATACCAACCAGAGCCTGGAGCCGCAGGGACTGAGAGAGGAGGGAGAGCTGAGGGGCAGGGCCAGGGGCATGGGGGCACCAGGAGGGCTCAGCTCGCCCCTGGCAGAGGTTGCGGGCAGTTGGGCCAGAGGGACAAGTGGCCATAAAAGCCCAGAAAGGTTCAGCCCTGGCCCCAGGGGTAGGTAGGGATGAGAAGATTCTATTTTCAAATCTCATTGTGGTTTTTCAGTTACAAAAGGAAATAAGAAAGGATGTGTGTGTATGTTTGTACATGGGTGCCTGCCCGCCTGAGCATGCATGTGTAAGAAGTGCACGCGTGAGTGCGTGCACGTAAGCACGTGTGCAGGTAACTGTGTGCAGGTGAGCATGTGTGAAAGGGTGAGTGTGTGTGTGTGAGCGAGCATGTGGGCATGGTCTCCCTGCCTGTGGTTAGTCCCTCTCTCACTCACTAAAAGGACACCGATGGCTGCTGCCCTTGTCCTGGCTTGTTCTTGGGCTTCAGCCTCCCGGCCTGAGATGTCCCGCACAGCTCATCCCTCTGGGCTCACAGGATCCGCTGCCCGGACAGCCTGGACTCCATTTACCCCTGCCCCACTCTGCCTGGGGTGCCTGGACTCCACTCCACCCTGCCCCACTCTGCCTGGGGTCAGTGATCCTGTCTTGGAACTTCTGCTCCCCATTTCTCTGCTCCTGCTCCACATCAGCCCCCGCTCCCCGAGCTCCCGGTGGTCCGTCCCCCAGTGGATCAGCCCCTGCTCCCCAGGCTCCTGTGGCTCCCCTTGGCCCTTTCGACAAAGGCCAGGGGCTCTTCCTGGCAGTCCAGGCCCTCCTCCCTCAATCCCAGCCTCAAGTCTCATAAGGCACACCCACCGCCAGACACCTCACCCCCAAAGGCAGGTGTCCAACCCGGTCCTACTTTGCCCATGCTGTCCCGTCCTCTCTTGCTGCAACTTTTTCTCCCTCAAAATCCTTCCTATCTCCTCCTGGTCCCCCAAGGGACACATACCACATTTTGCTTCGTACTGTGCGTTTCTGTGTGGAGTCTGAGAGGGTGGATTCCTCTGTCTGCCCCAGCACTCAGTCAGCAGCTCTCCTGGGAGCGGCTCCCAGGCTGGTATCAGAGGGAGGCCGAGGCCACAGGCCAACTAGGTTTCTGGAGAGCCTCGCGGGCAAGATGGAGAAGTGGCTGGTCTAACAGCCTAGGTGCCCCTTCTTCTCAGAAGCCCTCCCTGACCTCAGGCTGGGGCAGGGTCTGGACGGCCCTGGGTACCTCCCGCTCCTGCTTGCTCGGGACCCACTGAGGCCTGGAGGAGCTAGCAGTGAAGGGGTGAGAGAAGAGGTGCTAGAGATGCCCTCGGCACCCACGCCAGGGCACACAAATACACTCAGGACCAGTAGGGACGTGGAGGCAACTCACAGGCTCCTCTGCTCATAGATTTTCTCAGACTTCTTTGCACCTGCAAGAACACACCCAAGTTAGCAAGGTCCTGGTGCTGGGGCAGGAACTGAGGCCCAGGCCCCTCACCTTGTCCCCCTGTGCCCTCTACAGGCCTCACGGGTACCCTGGCCGAGCAGCCCATGGCTGCTGACATTGGAAAGGTATCTGCTCGCCACTTCCTAGGAGAGGTGACTGGAGAAGGTGGATGCTGTGGGCAGCCTGGCCTCCCCACCACGGTCCAGGGCAAGCCCAAAGCGAAACCCCAGCCCCAACACCCATTGTCTGCAGGGGGCTGTTCAGAGCCCCCCGGCCACCCCATGGGGGTCTCACCCCTGCCTCATGAGGCTCATGAACTGCCTCTTCCAACCCCAGCCAGGTCTCCACCTGACAGGGTCGCCTCCACCTCTGTGACCCTTCCTCCCCGCCCTTACCTGGGCGGGAGCACCGCACACACAGGCCGGCTGCTGCCCCCAGCAGCAGCAGCAGCGCCACCCCGGTCCACAGCAGCTCCGGCTCCGTGGTCATGTCTGCTCCCAGCAGCCCTCCTGCAGGGGTGCAGGTGAAGGCTGTGAGCAAGGGGCCACAAGCCCACTGGCAGACTCCGCCCAGCTCCCATGCTCAGGTTTCTCACCCCGCTGTCCCTGACAGCCCAACAGCTGAGTCCTGTTCCCTCCTTGCTCCTGGGGCTGGGCCTGAACCAGCCCTGTCCCCTATCTGATCCCAAACCAGCACTCTGCCCCATCACCAATGCTTGGTCATTGCTGGAAGGTTCTGGGCCCACCAGACAGCCGCATGCACATGTACACAGTCCACTCTCACCCTCACTTAATCCACGTGAATCATGTGAACGCCCTTGGAGGGAGAGGTTCGCCCGTTTCACAAACAGAGAAACTGAGGCTGGAAACCCTACAGCTGCTGAGTGGAAAGACAGGATTTAAACCTGGGCCTGCCTACCCCAGCTCTGGCTTGGTCCACCACCTCCCACCGCCCCTGTCAACCTAATCTTGCTCCCCAAAGTCTGTGTCCAGGCCCTTCTGCACAAGAGCCTCTGGGAAGATCCCACTCTCCCTCAGGCTTAGGGCACCTTTCTGCCCCCCAATTCATGGCCTCCTGGGGGACCTGGGAAGGGGGCTTCCATTTCTTAACCCTCTGCATGCCCAGATCCCTCCTGTCCTCCTGTGGTGGAGCTGGGAGGTCAGAGGCCCAAGGTCTGAGGAGTGTGGAACAGAGGCTGCTGTGGTAGCTCGTGGTGGGTTGGTGGGGAGACGGCCAGGGGTGAGGAGACCCTGGACACCAGGCTGGTGTGGGGCCGCAGCCTGGTCAGTAACTGTGAAGCGAGGCCTCAGGGGAGCCACACGCACCCAGTGCACAGTGCCACTCTCGAGTGGGCCTCCAAAGGAATTGCTGGCTGTAGAGACTCCGCCTTCTTGCAGTGACTGGTACGCAGCTGAGGGCAGTGGGGCCTCTGTGGCACTCGCTGCACCTGCACTGCTAAGCCCCTCTCTGCACTCACCTGTCTTCCCCCCTCCACCATCTGTGAGGGGGGTTTCTCCCCACCTTACAGCTGGGGCAAGTGAGGCTTAGAGACGGTACAGGGTGTACTCAGGGTGAGAAGGGGGGCTTCCTACTGCCTGCCTCCTGCTTCAGGTTCCCATTAAACACCACTCAGGCCCCTGAGGCCTGGGCTGGGCCTGGGCTGCGTTGCTTGCCAGCCGTGTGGCCTTAGGCGAGTCTCAACTTCCGGAATCTCTGCCTGGGAAACAGTGCTGGCCCCATGGCTGTGGCAATGACGCTGCATCACCTCCGAATGCTGAGCCACAGTCAGGGGCTGACAGGAGCACCTGTCTCCCCCACCCCCCAAAGTCAAGTGAGTCAGTGGGAAGAGCAAGATTTCCCAGCCACATGATGAGGTGGATGCCCCATGAGGAGGAAGGAAAGTCCACGTCACCCCATGATCTTGTCTGAGGCCGGGTGCTGGGTACGCCTGGTACGGCCCTCCCACCTTGGGCACTGGGTGAGGGGAGGGAGGGGAGCCTGAGAGGGCGGACCTGGTTTCAGCTGCTGAATCCCAGCACCACTGGCCTTCGGGCGATTGGGAAAATGGTGACACTCTTGGGGAGCGTCTGTCATGAGGCCCAGCAACAAAAGGAGCCATGTGAAGCGCAGCCAGGCCGGGTCAGATCTGGCTGCTGCAGCCACTACTGCGGCCCTCACTGTGGTTCCTCAGCCCCCGTGGAAGGCAACGGGCAGCTGGTGGCCAGTCAGAGCCAGGCCCTGGGCGGCCCACAGGAAACTTGGAGCAGCCCTGCCCGGAACCTGCTGACTGGACTGCCCCACAGACACACACAGGCCAGACCCATCCATCCCCTCCACCGACCCACATGGGCTGAGCGGCTGGGCCCAGGATGGGCTGGGAGCTAAAGGAGAGCAGGCGAGAATGCATGGAACCCCCTCAATCACTGGCCTTGAGACCCCCAGCCCAGCCCGTCTCTTCCAAGGGTCCAAGAGGTGACAGCCACACAGCTGTGACTCACAGAGCCAGGACTAACCCAGGGCAGGCTGACTCCAGACCCCACGCTCCTTGCCATTTTTTATATCACGTTTTTTTTTTAATCTTGAAATATTATTCAAAACAGAGGCTAATTTAGCAAACACTTATGTGCCCACCCCCCAGACTGAGTCCTGGCCCCTCTCTGACACCAGGTTCTGAGAGCAGGTGGGCAGATGAGGCGGGAGGGAAAGGCAGAGGGCTCCCAGGAGGGGCAGGGCCAGCCCCAAGTGGGCCCCAAGGGGCCAGGGCTGGGTGGGGCAGGGCAGAGAGGCCACCGCAGCCCTGGGGCTCTGCCGGCCAAAATAGCACAAAGGGAAGTGGGCAGTTTTCATATGAACAAGGTTTGCAGTGAGCGGCTGCGGGAACGTTCTAGGGGTTGGCTGGGGCGCCTCCCGCCCAGAAGGGCTCCTGGTGACCAGCCTGTCCAGTATCCCAGTCCTCTCCACGCTGTAGTTGGGAACTGAAGCCTGGTGAGGGCAAGGGACTTGCAGAGCTGGCGGGGGCTGGAGCGAGAGGCGGCAGCTGGCCTCATGTCCTCAGAAAGTTTCATCCATGGGGCTCTGCTCTGGGGCCTGTTCCATTTTTTTCCAAATAACCTTGGGCTTCAAATGAGGCTGGCTGAGAGACCCTGTTAATGGGGCTCAGAATGGCCAGGTGGCCAGAGGAGAGGGCAGGAGGGTGGCTGGTGGAGAGGTCTGGGCAGCCCTTGTCCCTGGGGGTGGTGAAGGCAGGCTGGCTGGGAGCCCGACCCACCCTCCGACAGAGCTCCCCAGGCCTACAGCACGCAGCCCCATGATGCCCCAGCAGAGAGCTGGCCGGCGGGATAAGGGCTGGTTGTGTGTGTTGGGGCCCTGGGGCAGCCGGGCTGACCAGGAGTGTCTGCCTAGAGAATCCCACCCATCCTCTCACAGCCCTGGGGAAGGGATGTTAGTATCTATTTTACAGACGGAAAAACTGAGGCTCATGGGCCTGGGCCTGGGCCTCCTTGGAGACACTGTTCTGGCCTTTTGGTTGCCCCTCAGCAATCTGGCAGTGATGGGGACCAACCTGGGGGCCTCCCCGGGCTGTGTGAGGGTGGAAAGGGGGCTGGAGCCCCAGAAAAGTTTGCCCCTCCAAGCGCCACAGGGTCTGGGGTGAAGGCCCCGCAGCATCCTTCCACCCCACCCAACAGGACCACCAAGTGCTCCTGCTGGGCCAGCAGGGCCACCCCCCTCCCCCGTGAGGTGAGCAGGGGGCAGCTCCAGGCACTCCCGGGAAAGGCTTACCTGAGAGTCGGGGCTCCTCACTGCGGCCACCCCATCCTGAGCCCAGACACCTGCCCGAGCTGACGCCAATGCCAGAGACACTGATGGGCAGCAGGGAGGGTGACGGGCTTCCTGTCAGCCACTGAATCATCCCTCACACATCCGCTGCTCTGCCGGACAGGCTCTGCTATTAACAGAGACAGACAGGAAGAGAGAAAGAAAGGCAGAGAGAGAGAGAGCGAGATAGAGAGAGAGGCAGAGAGAGAGAGGGAAACACACAAACACAGGCAGAGAAAGAGAGAGAGACATGGAGAGACACATGCTCACTAAAAAACACGTGAACACAGAGATACCCACAGAGGAAGAGAACCAGAGAGAGACATACACACAGAAAAGAGATATATGGGCAGGAAGAGACGCAGAGAGGCACACAAACACAGACAGACACGTGCATGGACATTACATAGTCACACACAGACAAACAGAGACAGGCAGAGAGACAGCCCAGTTGAGATCCACCAAGAGACACAGAGAAAGGCAGAGACAGAGACCAGAGACTGTCAGAGACACACACAGAGCCAGAGACAGAGAGATCCAGAGAACAACAGTCCCAGAGAACCAGACTTGGCCACATGGCCCTGGCACTTGGCTGTCAACAAAATGACTAGAAAATTGGCAACCAAGAAGTCTGGGGAAAAGACATTCGGCAACACATTACAAACCCTACCATTAAAATTTATATCGCACACATTTACGTGCATCACTCAGAAAGAGCAAAGAAGCACGATACACCAATGCAGCAGGTAAGCTAAGTTCAACGCATCCACCAAAACGACACTAAGTGTCGGGCCACATGGAAAATTAAACAAAGCATACCTGAAATAATTAAACCATAATAACCAAAAACTGGGCATTCAAACAAAATCTACCTATAGCACAACACACTTTACAATATGTAGTTACTCAGTGTACCCTGAAGGACATTTAAGGCATGGAGACACCCTAAGGAATACACCGGCAAGATAAAGCCTGACAGATCCTTTGAAATTAATAGATTACATTGGTCCTTTGCATACCTATGAAACCCAATCAGCTTTTGATACCATATAACGTCTCTGTCTAGATCTTCCACAATATATACCTGGTTTGCTGGAAGGAATAATTTACACGGCTGACAGAGCCACACATACACATAGTCGATGGGCTCATGGAAGTCCACTGCCAGAGGAACCTCCCAGTGAGGCAACCATAACCTGTGTAGACAGCTAGTTCCTGTCAGGGCAGCCTACACCTAGACAAAACAAGAATTCACCCTTTAGGTGGACCCTACAATCATAAGCTTAAAACATGTACAACAACACTTATACTTTCTCTGTTATTACTTCTTGGCAAATAGATGAGTACCTGTGAGCATTCTGTCTTGATGCTATGCTTGTCAGGGGTTCCTTACACTAGGAAAACCCTAAATTTTTCGGTAGTCTCACAGGAGGCCTGACAAGGACCTTGCTAACACAATTCCAAATTAATGACCTGACTATAAAGTTGGATGATTTTCAAGGGCTGTAACAGAACTTTAACTCTCATGCTATGGCAGCTTTGTCACGTTTATTTAGGTGCACAAATTAGGTCTTTCTCAAATCAGTAACTAAAGAACATAATGCTACAACAGGTCACGCTATGGACATCCAAAGAAAGGCTATTAAACAGGAACAAAATAATAACAGAATGATTAAGTTATAAATGGAGGCACAATGCAACCTCTTACAGACTGCATTAAATGCAATGTGGAATACTTTAAATACCTACCATTTATAACAGTAAAGGTAGAAACTGGAGCTCTGCTAAAACAGACAATCCCACCAAGTCTAAAATTAATATAACATTTGACAATGGATGTAACACCACCGGAGCATGTGAAATTAAAATATCAGCTTTGAAAAACAATACTATGAAATCGGACTATCACACCATGACGATACCATGATTTCAAAAGTGAGAATGGATGCTTAGTGCTGAACAAATGCCTCTACACAGAGAAGGCATACACATTCCACACGATCAATTACTAGCATGGAACCATGATAACTGGACAACCCCTGAAAACATTAATGTTCCTACAACTATGGTCTTAATTTCTTAACCAGTTGTCCATAATTTGAGGAACTGAACCTTTGTAGCATGCTCCAAAATTTTGATAAATCTAACTTATTGAGTTGTTTTTAACATTATTTGAATAATGTGAATTTCCCCTTCAAGGTTGCACTAAAATAGTATTTTGTATACTACTGTTGTTAGGTGCTGTTGTGTTGGTTCTGACTCACAGGGACCCTATGTACACAACAGAACGAAACATCTCCCCGGCCTGTGCCATCCTCACAATCTTTGCTATGCTTAAGCCTGTTGTTGTAGCCACTGTGCCAGTCCATCACGTTGAGGGTCTTCCTCTTTTTTGCTGACCCTCTACTTTATCAAGCATGATGTCTTTCTCCATGGACTGGTCTCTCCTGATAACATGTCCAAAGTACATGAGACGTAGTCTTGCCATCCTTGCTTCTAAGGAGCATTCTGGCTGTACTTCTTCCAAAGCAGATTTGTTGGTTCTTCCGGCAGTCCATTCAATATTCTTCGCCAATACCATAATCTAAAGGCATCAATTCTTCTTTGGTCTTCCAGCTTTCACATGCATATGAGGGGATTGAAAACACCCTGTCAGGTCAGGCTAGTCCTTAAAGTGACATCCTTGCTTTTCAGCACTTTTAAGAGGTCTTTTGCAGCAGATTTGCCCAAGGCCATATGTCGTCTGATTTCTTGACTGCTGCTTCCACGGGCGCTGATTGTTGATCTAAGTCAAACGGAATCCTTGAAAACTTCAATCTTTTCTCCCTTCTCATAATGTTGCTTATTGGTCCAGTTGTGAGGATTTTTGTTTTCTTTACTTTGGGGTGCAATCCATACTGAAGGCTGTAGTCTTTGATTTTCAAGTCCTTTTCACTTTCAGCAAGCAAGGTTGCTGAAAGTGCATATCACAGGTTGTTAACGAATCTTCCTTCAATCCTGATGCCATGTTTTTCTTTGTATTGTCCAGCTTCTTGGATTACTTGCTCACCACACAGATTGAATAAGTATGGTGAAAGGATACAACCCTGATACATACCTTTCCTTATTTTAAACCACGCGGTATCTCCTTGTTCTGTTCGAACGACTGCCTCTTGGTCTATGTACAGGTTCCTCATGAGCACAATTAAGTGTTCTGGAATTCCCATTCTTTGCAATGTTATCCATAATTTGTTATGATCCACACAGTTGAATGCCTTTGCACAGTCAATAAAACACAGGTAAACATCTTTCCGATATTCTCTGCTTTCAGCCAAGATCCATCAGACATCAGCAATGATATCCCTGGTTCCATATCCCCTTCTGAATCCGGCTTGAATTTCTGGCAGTTCCCTGTCGATGTACTGCTACAACCGCTTTGGAATGATCTTCAGCAAAATTTTACTTGTGTGTGATATTAATGATATTGTTTGATAATTTCCACATTCGGCTGGATCACCTTTCTTTGGAATGGGCACAAATATGGATCTCTTCCAGTCGGCTGGCCAGGAGGCTGTCTTCCAAATTTCTTGGCATAGATGAGTGAGCACCTCCAGCGCTGCATTCTTTTGTTGAAACATCTCAATTGTTATTCCATCAGTTCCTGCAGCCTTGTTTTTCGTGAATGCCTTCAGTGCAGCTTGGACTTCTTCCTTTAGTACCATTGGTTCTTGATCATATGCTACCTCCTGACATGGCTGAACGCTGACCAAATCTTCTTGGTACAGTGACTCCGTATTCCTTCCATCTTCTTTTGATACTTCCTGCATCATTCAATACTTTTCCCATAGAATCCTTCAATATTGCAACTCAAGGCTTGAATGTTTTCTTCAGTTCTTTCAGCTTGAGCAATGCTGAGCATGTTCTTCCCTTTTGGTTTTGTAACTCCGGGTCTTTGCACATTTCATTACAATACTTTACTCTGTCTTCTTGAGCCACCCTTTGAAATCTTCTGTTCAGCTCTTTTACTTCATCATTTCTTCCATTCGCTTTAGCAAATGTTACTTTATTTTTACTTTAGGAAATAACAGGCTACCTTCAAGATCAAGTTTCAGAGTCTCTTCTGACATTCATTTTGGTCTTTTCTTTCTTTCCTGTCTTTTTAATGACCTCTCGCTTTCTTCATGTATGATGTCCTTGATGTCATTCCACAACTCATCTGGTCTTCAGTCATTAGTGTTCAATGTGTCAAATCTACTCTTGACATGATCTCTAAATTCGGGTGGGATATACTCAAGGTTATATTTTGGCTCTCATGGACTTGCTCTAATTTTCTTCTGCTCAGTTTGAACTTGCATATGAACAACTGATGGTCTGTTCCGCAATTGGCCCCTGGCCTTGTTCTGACTGATGATAATTGAGCTTCTCCGTCGTCTTTTTCTACAGATGTAGTCGATTTGATTCCTGTGTATTCCATCTGGTGAGGTCCACGTGTATAGCGGCCATTTATGTTGCTGAAAAAAGATATTTACAATAAAGAAGTAGTTGGTATTGCAAAATTCTATCATGCAATCTCCGGAGTTGTTTACTATCACCAAGGCCGTATTTCCCAACTATTGATCCTTCTTCTTTGTTTCCAACTTTCGCATTCCAATCATCAGTAATTATCAGTGCATCTTAATTGCATGTTTGATTAATTTCAGATTGCAGAAGTTGGTAAAAATCTTCAACTTCCCTAGTGGCCAAAATAAATTTGAATAATAGTTGTATTAACTGGTCTTCCTTGCAGGCGTACGGATATTATCCTATCACTGGCAGCGTTGTAATTTAGGATAGATCTTGAAACGTTCTTTTAGACAATGAATGCGACACCATTCCTCTTCAATTTGTCATTCCTGGCATAGTAGACCATATAATTGTCTGATTCAAAATGGCCAATACCGGTCCATTTCAGCTCACTAATGCCTAGGCTATTGATCTTTATGCGGTCTATTTTGTTTTTGACGACTTCTAATGGTCCTAGATTCATACTTCCTACATTCCATGTTTCAATTATTAGTGCATGTTTGCAGCTGTTTCTTCTCATTTTGAGTCATGCCACCTCAGCAAATGAAGGCCCTGAAAGCTTTACTTCATCCATGTCATTAAAGTTGACTCTACTTTGAGGAGGCAGCTCTTTCCCAGTGCCTTCCAACCTGAGGGACTCATCTCCTGGCATTATACCAGACAATGTTCTGCTGCTATTCATAAGGTTTTCACTGGCAAATTTTTTCAGAAGTAGACTGCCAGGTCCTTTTTCAAAGTCTGTCTTAGCCTGGAAGCTCAGCTGAAATCTGTCCACCATGGGTGACCCTGCTGGTATTTGAAATACTGATGGTATTGCTTCCAGAATCACAGCAACACACAAGACACCACAGTATGACAAACTTGACAGACGTGTGGGGTTGAATACTACTATTGGAGGCAAAACATACTATTCCTAGTCCATACAGGACAAAGGAATAATAAGAATTACTAATGGAATTTATCATTTAACTAAACCAAATATTTCTCTGATTAATGTAAAATCAACCCTACACGAGTATGACTGGGTGAGCAACCATTTGAAGCAGGATACGAAGCATATACAGTCCATGCTCCAAAAGGTAAAAAACAGAAGGACAAATTCCCCAATATAATGACTTCTTTAAATGAAGCATTTATGGCATCTGTGCATGTGGTAGAATATGCTACCAATATTTGTAATCCCATAAGTGTGTTAAAAATGATGTTTACCTGGACAAAGAATTGTCAGGGAAGTTTGTTTGGATAGTTAAATAATTAAAGCTTTTGGAATTTTGGGGAATGGATTTTAAGTGATACAAAAGAAGCCTTTGTTTTTATCATACTAATTGTATTGGGAATATTTGTGTTAAAATTTGCTTTAAAAAGATTGTGTGCTAAGATTTGAAATCTGAAATGTGATTTGAGATCAAGGGGTGGATTGTTATGTGTGCCTATATAATGTTCTCAAATCACACAGGCTTTCAATACTGTTATGTTTTCAAATGCCTATGTACAACTCACTCATAATATGAAGCTAGAACTAGAAATATATATACTTCTGTGATGCACTCTGACCAGAAAACTTCTAAGTCATTAGCAATTTACAAGCTGTTAGAAACCATGTCATCAGAAAGTTATTTAGAAAATTTCTGACTTTAGAAATTAATAAATAGAAGAATGCGGTAAACAACCTCTAGAAGTTGGCATTGTACTCAGGTGCTATGATAAAGAAATTGCAACTCATAACTAGATGGGGGGTTCTAAATTAGAATTAGAAAAACGTGAAGTATGTCACAATGATGTAACATATAGTTAAACCTCCCTAAGTTGGCTTGTTGCATACATGATATGATAGAAACCTTCTATAATGTAATATTCTCTGAACTCTCTAGATTCATGAAGGGTAAGAATCTGAATCAGCACAAAGCTAGTTCCTATGAGGTGGAAGTCAAACATACTTCCACTCTTCAACTTTTTAACCATTTCTGACACCAGCTGTCCCCCACCACAGCACTCTCTACTTCTCTACTGGGTTTGGTAATTCATTGTAATAGCCACACAGAACTCACAGGCCATACTCACAGTTATGTGGTTTAATAGAGAAGTAACAGGCTACAACTCGGGATCAGGATCAACTTTGTCAATCAGGACAACTTCCAATCAAGACAACTCTTAGCTCCTTCTCAGCCATGCTAGCCAATGGCCCTTCCCTTGGCTGTGTCCACAGGCCGGACCTGTCTCTCGGCCTCTGCCGTCCTCAGGCAAGTATTACAGGTCTTCACCTCTTCCAGCAAGCCTCCTGCCTGAAGATGCTCAGCTCTCTCTCCATGGGCTGGCTGGCAAGCTCACCACAGCTGCTTCTCTCTGTGGGCCGGCAAGCCCACTATGCCATCTTGCACCAGCCTCTTGGTTCTTGCTGCTTGTACTGCTGCTGGGCTCTGCTGTGCTTACTACTGCTGTTTCTCGCCG